GGCCCGGGAGCGGAGCGGAGCGGGGCGGCTCTCCCGGCGCCTGCCGGGCACCGCAGCCTTGCCCGAAAACAGACGTGAACTAAAACAAGCGGCGAGGCGCGCTCGGGCGCGAGGTGGCTGTGAGCGCGGCCCGGCCCGAGCGAGATGGGCTCGTGTCATTGCGCTGCTTTCTGTTAAGAATCAATACTGCGAAAAACGATCTTCCCCGGAGAGCTGTTTTGCTTTCGCTTTCTTGACCTGCACAGACGCTGCTGCAGGGCCTTAGAGGGAGGCTGTGCTGGGGCCCGTGCCCTAGGAGGCTGCAAAGTTGAGGGTTGCGGAGGTGCAGGTCGACCCGCTGCAATGTTTTACTCCGATGTGCCTGAATTATAAAAGGTGGCTATACCAAGAGTGCGTTCTTTTTTTTTTCAAAAAAAATTTTTTTGGTTAATATGACTCTTAAATGCATGTATAAAACCACAAATTGATTCTTAAGTAGAAACATTACATTATTTATTTATATTGCAATTAACTGAATCATTTGTTTATATTTAATTCCTTTCTGCTTGATTTCTGCAGTATGGAGCAGCTCCAGGAGGACCAGCATTCCCAGGACAAGCCCAGGATCCCATGTATGCTTGCTTTAGTGCAGTAGCCGGGCTGGTAAGCTTTGTAATGTTTCTTCACTTGTCCTGGGGAATGGTTTCCACCTTAGCTTGTGGGGAGAGGAGTGTCCAATGGCAGTAGTTAGGGAGAAATCTATTTTTCAAGTGGGTTTGTTTTACTTAGTCTTTCTACTAAAGTGCGCGCTTCTCTGTAGAAGAGGTAGAACGTTACTAGCAAACTATGTACTTACTATAGGGGAACTGTATAGCTGCATTTTGGCTCAGTCCTTGGTTAGGGAATGCTGTCAGCTTTAGGAAAAAGAAGCCAGAAGCCTTCTGGAACCATCAGGTGTGGAGAAGGCCTTGCTGTGAACAGGGAAGACAAGTAAGAAAGGCACCCTTATGTGCCCCTATAGGGGCACAATAAACTCACAGATGGAAAAGCAGTCTTCAATGATGCCAATATCTGTGCTTGCTTGTTAGGTAGGGTGGTTATTGTTTCAGAGAAGAGGGCATGCGCAGCTTCCGTTTTATCCTTCTTTCTTTTTTTCCTGTTCTTCACTGTATTTTAAGTTTCTGTCTTGTAATTTTGTGCCAGGTATTTTTTCAGTGTGATTATGCATGTTCTAGGAATAAGTATTTCTGGAAGTGTCTTGCAAAGCTTATGAATAAATAGATTGGATTTATTGAGCTAGAGCTTCTGTCTCTGCCAGCAGCATACATTATTTATTGCACACTTCTAGGAAATACCCAAATCTAAAACTGTGCTTCTGGACCTGCTATCTGCATGTACATGTAACCACAACATAAAGGTTTAAATCCAATGGATGTAGCTGAGATTTAAATTAACAGTTTAGAAAGACTGCATTTATGTTCTATCCATTACTCTTTTGAATTAATTTGAATAAGGTTAAATTATACTTGAACTCTCTGTGAACTGAAGCTCATGTTGTGGGTGTGAGGAGTGATCTAGGGTTTGAACTCCGCCTTTGGCAGCTCATTCCTTCTGTGACTTGGCAATTGTTCTCCCTGACACAGAGAGGCGCTTTGCGAGGGAATCATTGCAAAATTGCATCTATCTCTATCTACATAAATTTTCTTTCTTCCATTCAAAATTCTTTATTTTCTGCTTACATATCTTTGGGAATAGTAAGTTCCTATCCAAACAACCCTTTCTAAAATTTGTTGATCATATACCTGCTTCCCAAGGCAGAGTTGTGTGATCTGTGTTGTAGGTTTCCTGCTGTAGCATGAGATCCTAAACCTTTAATCTAAAGTGAAAGTAATACCTATTAACTTGAAATAGGTACTTTGAGCAGAGTCGAGTTTCTGTGGTAGATTTTTATGCCCTGGTTTCTGTGCACTTCATTTTCCAATAGATTCTACCTTTTTTATGTGATTAAAAAAGTTTAGAGTAGACGTGCTGCCAATCATGTTTGTTTTTGAGTGCATAGAATTGCATAAAGTTGCTAGATGTGAAAGCTAATGCATGTTGCAACCTATTGGCTAAAGAAACACTATTAGAGGTTATAAAGAGGCAATTTCAGCTGTACATCAGAGACAGGCAATCAGTTCTGTTTTAAAAGGATAACAGGTTCAATGCCACTGAAGAGGGAATGGGTACTGGGAATAAGCTAACTGGAAGAGGGGACTAAACTCTAGCTAATATGCCTTTGTTTTCAAAAGGATGGACAAATAGATGCTGAGGAGCTGCAGAGATGCCTGACTGAGTCAGGGATTGTAGGAACATATAAACGTAAGTCAAAAAAACAACCCTCAGGAATGCTTATTCTTGTTACTGTAATTACTACCGTCTACTAAAAAAGTCTGTAGTTGTGCTTTCTGCAAATGTTTTTTTTTTTTTTTTGAAAAATGTTTTTTGTAAAGTGTGTGTAGCTTTGTTTTTTTAATAGAAGGGTTTTCTTGATATGTGGACTACTCAAACGTAAAATGTGCATTTAGAGCTTCCCTTCTCTACCCGGGTCAGGTTGCCATTGCTGATCTGGGGAGCTGGAGAAGTGGTTTGTTTTGTAATAGACAGGCAGTTCTTTAAAGTGTTTCTGCAAGTAAAGCTGGTTTGTTCAAGTGATCTCTATGGTGAAACAAAAATAACCAGTTCCAATCGAAACCCCAAACCTTCATGGATAAAGTTAAGAGCACATTAATTTTATTTAAAATTTCAGATTGTATGTTGTCAGTATTTTTGACAAGTCATGATTAGAAGCTTTTACTTGGATCAAAACATGGTATGGCTATATACAGTTGAAGCAAGTGTTTAGTATATTATATAAAATGTTTTAAGTTTTTATACAATTAAAATTGAAAATGAGTCATTTTTTAATACTGCTGTCATTTTTCTAATTCAAATAGCTTTCAACTTGGACACTTGCAGACTCATGATCTCAATGCTGGATGTATCCTTTACTACAAAATGTAAACATTTTTACATTACACGAACAAAGATAAGGGTATTCTGTTTGAAAGTAGGAAAATTCTTTGTAATTCCCATTCAGACTGTTAGTCATATATACTAACATATATACTAACTAGTATATATGACTAACAGTCTGAATGGGAATTACAAAGAATATAATCAGGTGTGAATGTGAGCAACAAATTCCTTTCTTGCTCTGCTCAGAGGATGAAATAATGTGATGAAAGAGTGTTTATAACACGTGGTGAGTTTCTGAGTTGTGGGGACTGTTTCTCCATTGAACGTGTAAAGATTCAGCTCTGGCAGCTCAGAACTGAGGTTTGTGTGAATTGCTCATTGTGCTTTTAAAATAGGCCACCACTGTAGACGTCCTAATGAATTTAAGCATCTGTGCGAGGGCTGTATGTAACCCAAGGCCTCCTAAACTCTGTTCCTTGCCTGAATCAGGCACAGGGGCCTCAGGAGGTGGTTGGCAGTGGGGCCTGTGGAGGGTCTAGGGACCTAGTGTGAGCTTGGAAGCTTGGAAGACTTCTAGTTAAAATTTACATTGTAATGTTCAAATGGTTTTCTGTTTTAAAATAAACGAAGCTGCAAGGGCTGTGAGCAACCTGCATAGAATAACAGAAAAATATTAAGTTAGAATAGTATCAGTTATTAGGCACCTCTTCTGTTATCAGTAACATACATGTATATCAAGTAAACTGCACTACAGGGAGTGAAGAGAGCATAGCTAGCTAAGTTACATTCATAAGGAGCAAATAGCTTTATAGTGCTCCACTGAGGAAGAAGTGGAGAGAGAGTGATTTCTGTGGCCTTTGGTCAGAAATATTGTCTGTCTGTGCTGTGGGATGCTGTCTTATGTGAGAAGAAATAATAACAATATAATATAGATAATAGCCCCAGGGTATCTTGTTTCCCAGACTTTAAGAGTTCTGAACCATACATGATAAAAACACTAATTTCCATCAAACAGAAGTGTCTTTAATTTTGGACGCTAGGCAACTTTTTCTTAGCTTTGGAATCAGAGAGATATGTCTGGCTCGATGGGATTTAATGAGTTTAAAGAACTCTGGGCTGCGATCAATGGCTGGATGCAGCACTTCATGACTTTTGACAGAGACAGAAGTGGCACAGTGGATCGTCAAGAACTAGAGCAAGCCTTGAAAAGTATGGGTAAGTTGTGAGATTTTCTTCATTTTAACACTGATGCTGACTCTCAGCCTCTCCCATCACCCAAGTCCTGCTGTAACTGTTCCATATGTCCAGTAAAAATTGTATGCTGCCACTTCAATATGGGCTTTTTTTTTCTCCCTTTTCAAATAGGATTTCGACTGAGCCCGGTGGCAGTGACCGCGATCACAAGGCGATACAGCACCCACGGAAAGATCGCGTTCGACGATTACATCGCCTGCTGCGTCAGGCTCAGGGCCCTCACAGGTGTGTTGATTATGGCCTTTTTAGTGGTATTTCCGTAATAGATTTTTGTGTAACAAAATCTGATTACTGAGGATTACTCAGCTTCCAGGTTCAGCTTTAACTCTTATGTAACACAAAATAGGTGTCTTCAATGAAGTCCACAGGCAGAACTGCTACAGTAATAGAACCTCATTATTTAAGTCCCCATGGAAAGGGAGACTTGAAATTAACATAGGATTTATTTCAGAGACTAGAAAATGTTTTCAAAATTGGGAAACAGTTTATTTACAAACAGTTTATTTACAGAACATAAAGGATGAGAGGGATGTTAAGGGTTAAATAGGAAGATGCGTTTGATAAATATGAAAATTAAGACCTGGAAATTAAGTCTGGGAATGAATTGTAATGTTCTTCATAAGGTATCATTCAAGTGATTCTGTTAGTTCCTTGCATCTGTTTTGCTCTGCCCTAATTCTACCTTTTGTTTTACTTTGGGATGAAATTCAAGAAGGTTGGGAAATCAGCATGAAATGGTTTGTAATTGTGAGGAGTAACAGAAACTATGGGCTAGTCTTCTGATTTTACAAAAGACAACTTGCAGTAGAGGTGTGTCTTAAATGGAAGTACAATACACTCTTTAAAAAAAAGAAAAGATTAAGTGTAATTCTTACTGATTTCTGTATTTGTTTTTAAATATATTTTTGCAGACTGTTTTAAAACAAGGGATGTATCTCAGCAAGGTTTTGTGAACTTCCAGTATGATGATGTAAGTAAACTTTTAAGAAATCTAAATTAAACTTTCAGGGCAAAACTGAGGGAAAACTAAAACTGAAGAAAAGCAGTAATGATTTCACTTTATGTTTGTATTCCCTACTGTTGTTGTCCTACCCAAGAGCCTGAAGATCCTGGTTTTGATTTCAATCATCTTTTCTTCTGGAGTTGAACTGGGTAGAAGAATTGGAGTCAAATCTTCTCTTGGAAAATTTTTACATGCTTTGCAGAGGTTTATTTAAATTTCACCATGCATTTTGCCCAGCCTTTAAGAACATCTAGGGAGCTACACTGCTCTTCAGCCTCAGCTTCTCCTGCACCCTCAGCCACACACGTGCCCGTGTGCTCACAGACAGGCACTTCTCCTAAGTGGCCCTTTGTGGAGGGAGAGGGGAATCCCAATCCATCAGGTGTGCAGGGCCTGGCTTCCTGACTGCACCTGAATGAGAAAAGGAGAACAGTAAGATCAAGTCATTCCTGGGTTTATTTGTCCTTATTAAGGAAGTGCTTTGTTTTATGTTAACTATTTGCTAATTTTCCTGTTTAGCTTTAGTGCATTGTTGCTTATGGACTGAACATCATTGCAAGAAGAGTAGTGACAACAAATATTTTAGGAGAAAAAGAAAAAACTTGCTTTGTACTATACATCTAATAGTTTGTTTTGTTTGTTTGTTTCAGTTCATACGGTGTGTAATGAGCATCTAAGTCAAAAGAAGCTTCACAAGGAGCCGTGGATGATCATGATTACCATTCCAGTTTGTCTTATGCCTTGCCAAAAGTTACCACAGTTGTGTATCTTAATACTGTAACTTGCTTATTTTATAAATCAACTGAATGATGTGCTTGCCTATTAACTTCAGTAATGAATATGAACTAATAATGTACTGTCAGCTTTAACTTTCAACCTCTGATTATTAAAGATATTTTTATTTTACACAAAGTCTCTATGTATAACTCAATTTATGTAGACAGTAAACTTTTTGTATTGTATTTACTTCTAACTTGATATGATTCACAAAAACTAGTTCCTTGAGTGTAATTTAGCTTGTTTCTGACTTAAGCAGTATCATGTGGATGATGATACATAAGATGATACATATTCTTTTGCCTTTGACAGTATAAGGCAGATGTACAAAAAGGAGTTACCTTTTGCAATCATTTTACTGTGATCTAGTAGATCACATAATTAGATTAAAATTGCTTGTTTTGACAGGTAGTCATTTTGGGGATGAAGTCAGTGGCACCAAGCATTTGTGTAAATAGGCCTTATTAAACCTTCTTTTAACTGCCTTTAGAGCAGGGATGTATAGAAACATAGCACAGAGCAAACATCTTGTTTACAGTGCTTTTAATCCAGAAAAATCATCATTTTCCTTGTGTCTGTACATAAAACACTTTTAAATGCTTTTAAAAAACTATTCACTCAGTTTAATATATAAGTCCCTTTTAACTAGGAACATTGATCTTGTGAAAGTGCAGTTACATGTAAATTAGTTATTTTCTTATCTGTTGAACAAGTGTTTTTCCTGCCTTTCTACAAAGACTAAAATCCCCTTTGGTTAAACTTTTGTCCCTCTATTTCACATCACAGCGTGTAATTAACCTCCTCAGCACCTCCCATAAGGAGAACTACAGAGTAGCAACTCTTTGATCTCAGATTTTCCAAGGCGGGGGGTGGGAAAAATAAAAATACTTGCCTGCTTTTATTCCTATTATAAATTAATATTTTCTTTGCAAGGGAAGAATGACAGAGGGAACAACATAAATACAGAGAGTTAGTTGAAACTTTTTTTCCAATGAAATAAATTACTTGACTTTTGGTTAATTCTTACCACTTCTGCCTGCCACAGAGGAATGATACATGATTTTTGGCTAGCTTTTTCTCATGCAAAAACTGCCACCTTTGTGCTGTTAGAAGAATTATATGTTTAACATAGTGCTTTAGGGCACTTCTGGCAGGGGCCCACTGTTGAGTAGGAGCCTCAGCAAAAATAGAGTGTTTGTGAAAGCAAGAAGTAACTGGGTCACTAGACCAACACTGGAAATTAACCTCAGAGCGGAAAGCTTGCAGGAAGAGATGGTTTTTAAGTCCTTGTCACCTCAGAATAGTTCAGAATCGTGGCCTGTAGTTTCTAGGCTATAAATACAAACTGAGCTGGTATAAAGAAGTATATGGTGCTTACTTCCGAGAACCAAACTCCTTTGTTAATGCTTTTAGTTTCATTTCAGAAGCTCCTTCCTTCAATTACAAAAAATGACTTTTCAAGGTGTGGACGAGGTTGTACTCCACATTCTGCCTCCTGTATACTGTTTTGTTGCATGCAAAGTTGGAAAATGGTCATTCAAGGTTCAGAAGAGTGTTTCTAACATAACTGCAATCTAGATGCAGAGATTTAACTGAAGTAGACAGCAGTTCTGCTGTAGCTCAAAACCTATAGCTGAAAAACTAAGTAGTGCAGGAAAAGGCCATTCTTTCTGTAGGACTTTGATTAGACAGTCTTACACAAATGCAGTATTCAGTATCCTCACACCTTAAACACGAGACTCTTTACCATAACTAATTACCCACACAACTTTTATCTCATACTATGTTATGTTTCTAAACTACTGATGACTCTGCAAAGGAAAACATAACATGATAGCAAAACATAACATTTCTGTGAGGGTAACAGTAACATAACATGATAGCAAAACATAACATAACATTTCTGTGAGGGTAACAGCCAATAGTCTGAGGGCCGTGGAAATTCCACAGTGGAGAGGTACAAAGTTATGCTCTGCAGCATGAGGCATACTGATAAAACAATATGAGGGAGTAAAATTGTGCCTCTAAGTAAAAGGTTGGCCTGAAAACTGTGTTTAGCTTATCTGGATTGGAATTTAAATTTGTTCAGTTTATTAAAATTCAGTTATCCGGTTTATTAATTCAGAGTTAAGTTATTGTGGAAGCAGACAAGTACAACACATTGTTTCCCAGAACACAAAGTAGCTGAGGATTTTGTAGGACAATCACAATTTGTCCTTTTTTTTATATTTGCTTTTAAAGTGAGGGGATGTAACTAGTGTCTACAGCACTGAAAGAAGAGTAGAATAGTGCTGAGGACCAGTGACAAATACTCGTCCCCAAGCACTCCTATTATTTTAGTGAGGACTAACTAACTAGTGGGCCGCAAAAGGCTGCAAGAACAACTACTGTATGGCTCAACATCCTACCCCCACCTTCCATGAATCCTCTTGGAAACACTAAACAAAGAAGCCTTTAAAATAAAGGGCTCCAAAACCAGGAATGAATTTTAGTTAATCAAAGGAAGAGTTGCCTTTTGTTGTCCATAGGTATTTCAAAAACCATGGGCTTCCTAGGGACTGAGGGATGAGATCATCTTTCTTTTCTATATAAACTGAGGTATTGAATATGATCACCACTGATCGACTTCAGGCTTATGCTATCATATTACTTAAAAAAAAACTTGAAAACTGTGCAAAATCCACTTACTTATTAAGAGTGCATTCAGCAAGCAAGCTGATACAAGATGACACAGTTATCTCTAACTGCAAACTGAGTAGCCCTTTTCCAAAGGTATACGGGTGACTGGTCTTGATTTCCATGCAATTTGGGAACAGATTTGCTGCTGCAGACTTGATCCTATGTGATGCTAGGCTATAGTCTACAAGAATACATGTTTTGGTTCCTATTAGTAAGAAAAAGAACTCACTTTTCCAGGTTGCCCTCAGATGTACACACCTAAAGAACAATCATTTCATGTTGATAACAGTGGGAACTTAAGCCACAGTTTAAGGAGCTCATAGGACCATTTTCTGAATTCTTTTACTAGCCATTATCATTTTTTCCCACACATTTGGTGTCACTTTTTAAAGAGAACTTTAAAATAGGGTGTAGAACTGCTAAATGTAAAGACAGACTTGCAAGAACAAAATACACACGAGTCTTTGTCATTGAAAGTCACTTTACTCATGTTACAATATGTTAGTAACATTGAAAACCACAGGCATTTGTATTAAATACTCTCATAGAAGTGGATACTGTGATGCTGTTATTAAAAGTGAGCAGGAATTTGGAACCCCAAATTACAATGATTTTATAAAAAGCAACGTTTTGTTTAGCTACATGAAAGCCAGATTCATTCACTTCAACAGCCCAATGCCTGTAATGTTTATGACAAAAATATCACACTCAAAGCTACAAAGTTGTAAATTGCAATGCTTCATTTTGGTGTTTGTCAAAATCTTTTATTTCTGTTATGTCACGTAGGAGCTTTTGAAGGGTTTTAACTAGCAAAGACAACAATATGCTGCAGATGGGTTGTTTTTGCTAACATTAGCCCAGTCGCAGTGGTGAAACAAGATTCTCCGTAATTTCCTTCAACATTTTACCAACAAGGGCTAGCATCAGTGAAAAAATTGGTAGCCTTTTCTTACAGCAACGCCCAAGATCAATATTAGCATCAGTGAAAAAATTGATAGCCTTTTCTTACAGCAACGCCCAAGATCAACATTAGCACAAAATGAAGCTGGCAGAGCCAATTGGTATTTACCACTCCAAAAGCTTTGCTGAAAGAACTGCTCATACTGTAAATAGTGGTTTTTTTCCAGCAGATTAAAAATTCAGTACTGCTTTGCTATTCTGAAAAAAATATTTTGCATTTATGCAGCAATAAAAATAAGTATTGTATTCTATATAAAACACTACATATTGTAATATATCTTTACCCTTAAGAAAAGAAATCAGGTTATATATTCACAGTTTGAGTATGTTCTGGACTGTATTTCCAAGCATAAAATATGCAGATTCTCTACACAGGCAGTGAGCAGGAGTTCTTGTACCAATAATCAAAATAAATCAGCATTTACTGTTACACAGAGCCTTACAATATTGCATGATTAGCTGCTAGCACCACTCTACTTAAAAGGTCAGTCAGGCCTATATACAGGAATTTCTAATTTGGTTGTAAAAATAGACTCTCCATGCTAAAGTTAGAATATATAAGGTCTTAAGGCCTCAAGTTATTCTTTTTTTTTTTTAACCAAAACTTTATTTATTTTTTAATCAGAGGAATACAGAAACAAACAGAAAAAAATAGCTTGTTGCTTTGAAATTTTATGCTTCAATAATTAAAAATAGTTTAAGACATCTTCCTTTAGAGAATGTGTTTCCAACTGTTTTTCTCATTTTCCTCAATCTTCCTTATCTCATTCTGACTAATATTGTAATTATGGCCTGCGGATATAGCAGAGATTTTCTGAACAGTGTAAAGTTGGATCAGCTGAAGTGACTCTGCAGCTGGTGGAGATGATTTGATTCGAGAGGTTTACAACCACCAGACCTGGCTAGCTGAGCCCCTTCTAAAGGCAGGTGCAAAGTTCCTCAGTGTGAGCAACCAAACACCTTCCCATGCTCTGTGCTTATTTCACTGCTTGGTTTGGTTACTTGTCTCAGATACCATATTGATATTGACCAGTATAGTGGTTTTCGTTTGTTTGTTTCCTAAATAGCTGAAGAAAATAGTTGTGGAATGAGAAGATATGACCTGCTGGCTGTGAGAGCGACTTCTTTCCAAACCTTTACTTTATCTCAGCCATACTTGAGTTGCCAAAAACATTCTTCATTAACTAATTTGGAAAATATTCAGCTCAAAGGAGTTCTTCAGTGTAGATGGGCCAGCAGGTATTACCTGATTTCTTGGCATACTGTGAGAGTCCTTTTTATACTGCAACTATGTCTTCACAATCAGTTCACTGTTTTCTTCTTTCCTGATCTAGTAGCCTAACCGTTAGGAACGCTTCTCCATCATGCAATCCCGGGACAATAACCCGCACATACCTGTGCCATTCACTCACACTTGTCTTCAGGAAAAAGCCAGAAGAGAAGCCAAGTCCCATTCTGCCCAAGAGATGTCACAGGCTCTGGAAGCCATGCAAATAGATGGGCATCAGCAGTCAGGTGGACACCCTATTCCAGGCGGAAAAGAGGGCTTCGGAGAGCAGAGTGCTCAAGCTCTTCGAAGAGGAGTGACCAACCTCACACCATGGTTGCCAAGAGTGGCTTCAAAGAGATTGCTAGTGACATGAGCACTGAAATAGCTCAGTGGGAAAAATGGGTGATCTTGAGACTTGGAATAGGAGAAAAAGGAGGACATGGTACTACTCTTAGGTTAAGAGACTTGGTGATTAAAGAGATTCATCCTTTGAAAAAGGCAGAGGATGAGAAAGACACAGAATGAATGAGGCACCAAATGCTGAACCACTCCAAACTGCAAATGAGCCATGGGGCTCTAGTCTATCACCCTAGCAAGCGCAAGAAATACATTTACAGTGCCATAAACAGCACTGGAAAAACCTTATCCAGGATGTCATGAGGAAAGGTTTCCACCTTTGCAGCATCTTCTCAGTTGCTTGTTCAACAAACCCACACAGCTCCTAGTGGATGTAACTATCCTTCATGGAAGCGATTTCCAGAGAGGAGGAGTGGACACGGAGATGGAAAGAAAAAGAAGAGAAGCTTGCCTGGTTTTAAGCTAGGGTTTGATAAGTTTGTTTAAAACAAACATAAACTTTAAAACAACAGGGGGCTCAGTGACCAAGCAAGCCCTAAGAGCAAACCTGTCACCCTACCTGACTGCAGTCGCTCAGTTGTTTCACTTCACATCCTATTGGCAAGGGCAAACATCATGTATTCTCATAACCTGGCGGATCATTGACCACACTGTGTACATCCATGAGACTAAGCAGTGAAATGATTGCAAATTTGGTGAGAAGAATTTGCATACTTGTCAAAGCACACACAGCTATCCTTGGCCCTGGTTTTGGAAACACTCATTACATTTATGTTGACAGGACAATCCAGTTCATTTTAGATCAGCAATGGTGATTCACATGGACTTGGATGCATATTAGCTGTTGACACAGTTTTTTTCCTTGTTTTAATTCTGGCTATATCAACCGTCATTTGATCGTTAGCACAATTAAAAGTATTCAACGAGTGCATCAGCTTAGCAGGTTCGAGATTTCATAAATCAGGAACAAAACTCTGAAATCATTTAGACGCAGCTATCTTTAAAGACATATGCCACATCTCAAATCACATAATTGGCAAGTAGTGACTTAGAAGTTCATAACTTATATAAAGATATGCTATATAGTAATGAACGACCTCTTTAAAAACTAAACTATTTATACTATAACAATAGTATAACAAATTTACATGTAAATTATCGATCACAACCATTTCTGGTATACTGCCTAAATATATTCATCAAAAGTTTACATCATGGATTACTGAAGTTCTTAACAAATCCAGACTAAGCAGGTAAACTTTACATTGTAAAATGACGGTATCACATTGCAGCATTATTATTTGAATATTATCTCTATTTTTTGTCTCCACCAGTTAATCTTATTAATTTTATTTTAAATTATACAAGATTCTCCTCCCACATGCTGAAATATATAACACTAACGCAAGTTAAGTATAGATCACCCTGTAAGCCCTACGCTAATAAGGACAACTACTGTAATGCAGTTACTGGTGATGTCCCCATTTAAGAGGTATCTACAACACAGTTGGCATGGACTAGCTCATTTATTACTGTGGGGAAAAAAAAAATCAATGCCAGCAAATGAAAGTCTGAATGGGAGTGAGTCAGCATGACTGAACTACCTCCCTGGCGACACAAGCACATCATTTTAGCCTGGATGAGGTATTATGCGGCAATATTAAAATATTGCTATTGCCAGTGTAACTGTAACTACTGTGGTTAAACAAAAAATATTTGCAATCTCTGGGGTTACTAATCTTGCAGGTGTCAAACACACTATATTTTAAAAGTAGAAAACCACAGAATATAACCAACAAACAACTCTTCTCTCTGACCTTCACCGACTCTAGAGGCTCATAGAGCTTTACAAGTACAGGCTTTATGCAACAACTTACTGTCTCCAAGTTACCAACGCAATGCAAAATCCCCTGCAGAACAGTTCTGCAAAAGACAAAGTTTCTTGATGTTCCCACTCTCTTGACCTCATCCAAGACAGTATTTACTTAACTGGAAGTTAGCGCTCACTAGTCACTGCATCTCGCCAATGTGGAAGTGCCTGTTAAAATTAACATATGCATGTAACTGTATCAACAAATGCTAGGGATGAATGCTACCAAAGCAAGAGAGAAGCTGTAAGTACATAGTACATTGAAAATACCATCAGGAACGTGTTTTCAAATCAAGGAGCTATGAACATGACACAAACGGCCAGTATGCTACGCTCAGCTCTTGCTGCCAAATCTTGCTGCTTCTTGACAAAGGAAAAGGGAAGGGGAGGAAGAAAAGATGGTGAACAGGAAATATCCACAAAAATTTAACATGATTATTCATAATTACATACTAATTTGTGTTCAAACAAAGTATCATAAAAGGCACATGATAAACAGTCTGGTTACTAAGGACAAGACATTAATACGGAAGGAAAAAATGGGTTCCAGGCGGGTTATCAGGTTAAATTTCCTAATTCGGGTGAACTGCTTGAGGGTCCAGTTCAAAGTCCACTGAAATCAATAAAAGATAAATATTGACTTCAAATGATTATGGCTCAGGCCCTAATTTCATGAACTACACACTATCTTTAATCCAGCTACCTACATTCAAATTAAATCTTTGAAAAAATATTCTTCAGTGCTGACAAGATATTTACTCCTCACAAAAGTGCAGAATCTTCTCCTAAAGCAGTAAGAAGTGACAGGCTCCCTCCAGATGGCCTGTCTGCATACACTGTCCTCACTCATTTGTATCTCCCTCAATACTTACCAGAACCTTGTGACTGTGAAGGAAATCATTTCAACTTCAAGGCCAATATTTCGTTCTAATCTAGCACAGTCTAATCATAAAATATAGTGCTTCTAAAAATCATACATACTTTACAGCTGCTGACATCTTTAAAAATTTCTTAATTTAACCTTATATATATTCAACTTTATTGAGAGACATAGAAGATAAAAAAAAAAAAACAATTAAAAGGCTGCCAGTGTTGGGTGCACTTACTAAAGAAAATACATGAAAGAGGTAGAAGACTCCAGAAACACCTTGGATGCTCCTGTTATAATAATATCTAATTGTTCATACGGCTATTGGACAAGATATTCTACTGCACTTTACAGACACAGAAGTTTTATTCTGTAATGTTACTACCTGAGGCTATGAAATTGTTGCTTTTGGAGAGATGGAGAATTACAAACTGATTTAATATGGCCCGTTTTTCTTGCTGAACGAAAATTTTCTATCAAAAGACCACATTTATTTTATGATATCTTTTAGAAGTCTCAGGTATCAGGAATCTAAGAACAAGATCTCATTTGGCCCTTAACACATGGACCACTGGCAGCCAGACGATCACCGCCTGTCGAAGCACAAAACCAACATTTCCATGGTAAAGGCCATTTTGTTTCCATGATTTTTTGTGGGGGTGGAGAGGGCTAAGCTCACTTGTACTCAGCTTAAGGCCCAAACTGTAAAAGGGATTGCAGGGACAGGAAGCATAGTATTCTAATACATGGTAAAGGAGATTCTAGTAACAAATACAAATTAAAAACATTAACGAAACTTGCCCAACATTTTTATTATCTAGTGTAGTGAAATCATTTTGCCTCTCATAAGCTATACCTTGCCATCTAAAGCAGTGTTTCAAATGCTTTACCAAATATATACAGCAAATCTCACCAGAAGGACTTGACATCACCACAGACTGAAGTGACTGCACAGAAGCATTCCCAACCTTCCAGTTTTTACTCAACATTAGTTAAAAGACTCATTCTCTGTGTTCTGCAGAATTAGTCTCAGTTACAGCTGCACGAGGATACACTGGTCATCATAGCGAGTAACGTATTTTGGCTGGTTCCTTTGATGATGATCTAAGACACAGTGTCACTGCACTCCGATTTCTGCTTTCTATGATACAATTGAGATTGTCAGTTACTTAAAAGATAGCACAGATTTTGGTCAAACACCAGTTTCTGAGAGACACATTTTTACAATATTGTATCTTCTGTATTTCCAAAGTTGTCTGCTCATAACATTAAAAAATTTGAAGTGTGATGATGTTAGTCATGACTGTTTAGGCATTTGGCAAAATATACTTAAGTGTAACAGCTATTTTTGACATTATCAAATGTTTACATATATACAATCTGTATATTGAGATTATAAACACGTAAGGTAAAAAAAAAGATATAACCCTTGTTTTTTTGAAGTTTATGTAAAATATTTGCCTTTCAAAGTTTGAGATCCTGTCACAAAAATCCTATATTTCTTACTCCTGCATGCTAATTGCTACTACGGTATGTTGTTTTTCCCTTACATGTGGAAAGTAAAGAACACAAGGTTCATGCATACAGAGAACATGTTTACATCGGCTGCGTTCTTCAGAGCACTCATTCCCAATTCTGGTTTGCTCTAACGTGGAACTGCATTAAACCAAAGAAAAACCTCTGTTACTTGGGACTTGCAAATTGACTGCAGCTGTAATTCTATGTAAGTGTATTTGTCATCATGCGGAAGAGCCATGTCACATCCAGTCTAATTATCCCCTTATAATTTTGGTTGTTCCTTACATCGAATTCAAAAAATTCTAGTCAACAAAAAAGGACTGCCTTTTCCCTTCCAAACGAGAGGAGGTTGTCACCGCGACCACCGGCGTCTGTGTGGACCTTTCGAGTTGTCTGAAGAGCAGGTGAATGTGCAACGACTCTGTGAGGCCAAGTTCCTACAAAACCTGTAGTAAACAGTTCTGGCGTCACCCCGGGGAACTGGTGGAGCTAAATGGAAGTTTCCCAGAGCTGGAGAGGAAAAAAGGCAACACAAACACACATCACCAAAAGAAAAAACAGGCTGTCACCTCACAGCATTACGAGCCTGTTTAGGGGATTGCGTCTACTTTGCCCAGGTCACAAATGACAGGCAGGCTGCTCTCACCCTAGCCTCACATGGGTATCTCTTCAGAGACCCGAGTCAGCAGGTTAATTGGGAATGAGGCTTGTTGGGACTCCAGAAGTGAATTTCAGTGATTTTTGTGGTTACTCAGGTATCTGGTAGGGCCACACTGACTTGACGCAAGGAAATCAAAGGCTAACATCGCCATGCAGCTCCACCATGTCTTACTTAACTGCGAGTGATCTAACTCTAGGTAATGCTGGAGAGTAACCAGTTTTGAGAGCAAGCATAGCAGACAAGTGCAAACACGGCCACTCGCAGCAAGGCTCTGTGCCAGAGGCTCAGGCTGCAGCAACCTCCAGAGCTAGAGGTATGAAGGAAAAGCTTATGGTACTCAAAGACACTCACCTGTCATGCTTTCCTCTTGACAAACCACCAGCAAACCAAGTCAACAACCAAGCACACACTTACCCTGGCACTTTGCCTGTTGGCTTTCTTCTCCTCGTCAGGAAGTGGTGGCATTGGGTAAGGGTATTTTCTGCTAGAAGCAATAGATCCAGTGGATGAAGAAGGAGACTTTGCAGGAGAAAGTGTCCTGAGATGTTGAAACACATAAAATAAATGTGATGTCTTTGGGATCTCGCACTGCAACAGCAACTGCCATTACTCTGAGGCTTGGTTCAGAAATAAGTGTTTACTAAAGTTTATCATTAGCTCAATATCAGGAGAGAGTAAAACTTTATAGATCAGTAGTCTAAAATTCTATGACTATAAATAAAGGTATTTATAGCTTTCAGGAGTTCTAGGAAAAAAAATAAAATTTCCTACCTTTTATTAGAACTGTATTGCAAAATGAATGATTTCTTAAGCTGCTTTACAAAGTACTATAACTAATCACAATAAAATTAACAAATCAAATCTGCAATAGAATAAATAGACAAATGAAAGATAGACATAGCATCATGAAGGCTAAATAGAAATAGTAATTGTATAAACACAAGCTGAACAATGTCTTCTGCCAGTGGATGAATAAATGAGTCATCAGTGTCTTTGTATATATCTTACACATCTCATATATTGATACAAACATAGCAAATAAATCTATTACTCTATAACAACATACTAACTTACACAAATGCATGCACTTAGAGGCCAAACTGTTAGTTGTGAAGTAACAAAGGCATATACAAAGTGCTAATAACAAACTATTAGACATGCAAGCATCATACAGTGCATATTGTTCCAGCCAAAGAAAGAGTCTGATGAGAATATACAAAAATGGACTGATTAGTCAGCAGCAATCAGCATTTCTGTACAAGGTGAGTAGAGTAAGCAGGAGCAAGTAAATGTTTGTATCACATGAAAGGTACTATTTTCATGTCAATAAGGCATCAGCACATTATTGACTAAAATTTTATACCCAAGAAAAACACTTATGCTTCTGTTTTGAGAATCTGCACCTTTCCCACTTGAGAGGTTTCTATCAGGCTCTAAATCTGGGAAGTATAAAAGGAAAAAAGGCTTCAAAATAGAGGACAGAGGCTACATGGGAAGTTTTGTTCTGTTTTGCAGAGCGAGGACATTTTCAAGAGAGGCTTCCCCCTGGCATGGGCACCCCACACCCAGGCACCTTCTGAGCACCTAAAATCTTGGGATTTCAAAACGTCCCCAGGGAAGCAGTTTACACTCAGGTTCTGAGGCACATCTTCAAATACTTCAAAACACAGCAAGGGGCACAGGTGTGGACTCTGGCAAGGAGCACCATTACCAGCATCACGGGTACCAAGGGTCAAGAGGGGCCTCCTGGGAGCAGTGCCCACCCCACAGTAGCAGCTGTAGAATCCCATGCTTCAGCATAGGGACTGAGAGGTAAGGGGCTCCTTTGTGCCTGGAATTGTTTTCTATGTCTATTAATTAAGTGAATTTCTTTTCCCTTTTAATAATAGCTTTTTTGTTTTAGACTAGTGCATCATTTTACTGTAATTCCCTGGGGCAGCAGGGAATTTGTCCTCCATGCAAAGAAGGGTTGATGGCATCATGAACAACAGGGTGTCAATAGAAATTGCATGGTGAGAGTTCCCCGCAATGCTCTAATGCCTCACGTTGTCCCCTCAAAGTTCAGCAGCACTCAAAAAAAGAATGATCTTGGAAGCGTTTTCCAAATACTGAAGACTCTATCTGTCTTCAGCCTGTGCATTTTGAGCACCCAGTAAGACAAACTGGACACATGTAAAAGTTTTCAGGAAGAAAATTTTAAACAGCTAATGCAGCACAAAAGAGGGCCTTCACATGTCCAGCACCACAAATTTGGTCGCAGGCTACATTTTTTTTTCTTTTTTAATGCACAGAAAAGTTCCCTGCAGTGCTCAGCGTTCTGCTGTTTGCTACATATAGGAGTCTTTTCATCTGTGGCCAGATTTGTACAGATAAGGATTGCTAACACTCAGACTATTACTAGATCCAGAATTAAAAACATCGGAGGATAGGAAGAAATGGTGCAGATAAAGAGAGCAGAATTTACAGATTATCAATAATCTAATCATTTATTAATTTTGCCTAACAGCTCTAGCAGGATTTAAGATCTTCATGTTTAAATGTATAATGAGGCACTTGAAAATTAAATTGGAGGGTGTGAGACCTGGCGTGCTTTGCTCACCAGCTGGGGGCAGCGTGCAGGATGATGGCACTGGCCATCCCTCATGCCACGTCACCTCCCCTGCGCTCCCACCAGTTACTCTGACCATCCCCAGACAAGCCCCAGGGAGAGGGAAAGGCATGGATGGGCCCTCTGCCTGTCCACCAGCTCTGGAGGCTCCAGGAGTTGCATCCCCTGAGGATGGGGCGTCTTGAGCACTTTCCCTGCACAGCAGGTAGCGGGGCAGGATCTCCGCTGAGCCTGCAAGCAGGGAGCTTTGCATCAGAACCCCAAACCTACCCAGCACAATCTGGCCAGGATATTTCACAAAAGAGGAGGAAATCAGAATTGGCTTCAGTGCTCCAAGGAAGTCTGTGCAGACATCGCACTTAAAAGTTTAAGTTGCACAGAAGAAAGTTGGAGGCAGACATCTCACAGGAGATCTGTCATTAGTTAGCCATAGATATCTACTTCTCATCTAACTTAGGCATCTAGAGCACAGACATCTGAGTGAAAGAGCCTACAAATGAGCACCAGCAGGAAGCATGAATGCAGTTGCACACTTAAAGAAATGACCATGGCCTCCCCTTAAAGGCCCTAGACACTTATATCTGCTACACATTAATGTACTGTTTTTGTCATCTCTAGTGCCAGCTCATATCACTACTCATGTGCATGCTCACAGAGCTTATAATGCATCTTAAATGACAAGTGCGGTTGGTTAATTTTTAATCACCTTTAGGTTCTGCCCTGCAATTGTGTATGTGCTGTGTATCCCAGATTTACATCTACTTTAAATGAGAGAGAACCAGAAATGACCTTTCTCATTTACAGGATGGCAAAAGGACAGCATTCAGGGACACTTGCGGGTAATGCCAGGGATAAAGGTAGGCAAAACTCTGCAGTCTGGGTTAGGGGTGGCTTCCATTTAGCTTTCACCGGGGAGTTAGTTCTCCTGATATCATATCCATTAGCTTCCCTGTCAGATGTTGCTTCCATATGAACCTAAATGAGGAAACAGAACTACACACTGATTTGTAAACTGCATTTGTTCCTGCGCACTCTGTGACAACTTTGGAGATTTCGCTCTCCATCCCAGGTGAAGCCACGCACCTCTGTGTGTTTAACAATTTTCATTTCTGACCAGGAGGCAAGATCTAGTGGCTACACTGAGGCTACCCTTCCCTTCCTGAAGCTGGAACTAGCAGGGTATCATAGGGCTTCAGAACCAAATGCTGCAGAAGCTGTAGGATATTTCTCTGGGCTCCTTTGCAGGCGGATGTCTGCTTACTCTGCCTTCTCTTGACTGAAACAGAGAGAATGCTGGCCCAAAAGGGACAGTGTTGAAATGACACTCAGGCATAAGGCTGAGAGTCCTGTGACCCTCTCAAATGCCACTACAGTAAAACTGAAGGCAGGTGGCCCTGACAGATTTTACCTGTTCATGAACTATGTTCCATTCTGTTTTGTGAACTGAACTAATTTAATGAAACTCACTTAATACAGCTTTAGCAGAGCTTCCCAAGAGAAGGGACTTGCCTTGGCAGCAGCTTCCTTCAACCACAAGGCTCCATGCCTTGGATCCTGCAACCACAGTTTCTGAGAAATGGCAACGAAGCTGCCTTTCCCCTTGAGTCTGGGTGTCACGTCTTGTTATTCTGGATAAGATTAGGGTGACTGAATTGCCTGTTGCAAACTGATAGAACTTTCCAGTAAATGAAGTTCATTATGGCAACTGGAAAGTCAAAGGAGACCATTACAATTTTAAGAAGACCGAAAAATAATATTGAGAAAAAGGAACAGTGGGTGAGGATTTTTTTTTTCTTTTCCAAAGCGGTGTCCAACACCGCCTCAGAGAAACAGGGACATCATGGTCTGTGATGACTATGGCCAGTCTGCTGGATGCTCACACAGAAAGGCAACAGATGAGGTAGAGAGGCCATTTGGTTGTGCGGCAGAACTAAATCTGGTCTAAGGACCAACTGAGGAGGCAGGGAAGAAATCAAAGAAGAAGAAAGCAAGAGTACCAAAGCTCATAAAAAATATGAGAAACTGATAGTCAATCATCTCCTGCCCATCATGCCCCTTGCCAACACCTTGGACAGTTATTCTCTGTCTGGACGTCTGCTCTAGATCTTCCTCTAAAAAAAATTGTATTTGTAAACTATTTTGACTTTTACACATTACCACAGAATCTAGGTTACTCTACATTTTCGCATTAGCAAGCTTAGGCAGCTCTGGGCACCCTGTAGACCTTCCAGGCTTTTTTTTTTCTTTTCTATATTTATGCCACACTTAGAAATGCCATTCTAGAAATGCCACATTTGGGGATTCTGACAGTTGACTTCCTTACACCATCACAGTTCCCAAGTCTTTCAAAATTCAGTGAGGATCTCAAGTAATCCATAGCTATATTTTGTAAGGTTAGTCTGTGCACTAGCCACTGTAATAGGCAGTAACAAAAATACACAGTAGAATCACACTAGCACAACTGTGAACTTCTAGCTAATGGTGAGACTCCAGAAGATATTCACTACTGGGAATGTGGCCATGCTCTGGACTGGAGGGTTTTTATGCCTCCCCTGACCTTCCACATAGTAATAAAAATTTAGGGCAAAACTACAATTTGCCTTTGCCATGCACTGTGGGCAAACTAGCCTGCTTCTGCTGCAAATCCCTAACAGATTACTTTCCCCTTGTAATAAAAACCTAAATCAGGGGAAGGTCTCCCACTTGGGTTTATTATTAGAGTTATGCAGCTACATCCTGGTATCTATTCAGACTGTAAAATTAAAATCTCACCTACACTTTAAGCTCGAAAATGAGATTTTTCTTTACAGATCTTAGTTTCTTACATAAAGGAATCCCACAGGCAGAAGCTTTTTGGCACTAGAGACATCAGCTTTGATGATTATTATTAATAAAAAGTAATTATACAGAGGTACCCACTAGGCTTGAAGATGAGAAAAAATAGTAACTAGGACACTGTGCCAGGGAGGCAAATTTTGGTTTACATAGATTTTTCCTAAGAAAGATGAGAAAAAATAGTAACTAGGACACAAATTTTGGTTTACATGGATTTTTCCTAAGATGATGGGGATACCTAATGCCTGTATTTTTTGAAAAGCTGCATCTTTCCAAGGAATTGTTTACCATCAAGCCGTGCATTTTTTTTTCAGGCTGATTATACAAAGTGTGATTTGTTTTCTCTAGTCACCCCTCAGTCACGTTCCTGAGGCACTGCTGAGCTGTCTTGTTCTTGTCCAAAGGCTCCAGAGCCACCACATTACTTCCACAAAGACAGTGCCAAGGAATAGTGCTTCCCTGCCAAGGCCAGATCTACCCAAACCTGCACCGAGTGCTGTGGAGAGGCTGCAGCAGCCGGGGTAACCTCTCATAAACCCACAATGACTCATCCCAGGAGAAAGCTCCATCCTTTCCCTTCCCTAATATGCAGAATACTTCCCCATGGTTACCTCGCTTTCTAAAATCATTTTAGTTCCTTTCTCAATTCTAAAGCTGAAGTTACTGCTGTAAGCAGTCATTAGCAACCCTCTACACAGTAATATTTTCAAGTTAGGTTTCATCTTTGCTCCTGTAAGTCCTTAAAACTGACCTGGATCAGTGTAGGCTCCTCTACAAATTAAAAAAGAGAAAAGCTCAGTTCATCCCAAATACAGCTAGGAACGTGACTCAGCTGGTTCCATAGGGAAAACCGTTGGGTGAGTACACCCCCATGAATTTAATCCACTTGCTAATTCATGACATACTAATATTAAAAGATGAAAACCAAATTAAGAGTAGCCACAAAGGAATTTGGATCCCTTCACCTAATCCCATTAAAGAAACATATTTTAAACTAGTGCTATCTTCATATTTCATCAATGACTTATCACAGTCAGAGGGCTTCTGATATGAACATTCTGCAAGACAGCTCTGAGGCTAAGTTACAGTGGAGGACTATGATTGCACTGCCTGAACAACAAAGGCCCAACATGTATTTTTAGGAAAAGGCTTAGTTTCTCTTGCTAATAAAAATGTACTTCCTTTCTAGTGCAAACTTGCTTAGTTTCACCTTTCAGTGAATCTTGGTCCTTAACAGTCTTAATCTCCTACTCTGAAAGACCTCATAAAGGCTTTACTCCACAGGGTTTTTATGATCCAAGTAATCCTTTAACTGCTCCATTAAACTAAGCAGCTTGAAGTCTCTTCTACCATATTTCAGGGCTATACACTTAAACCTCTTCATTCCTCAATGTGCTCCTTAAGCTGTGGCTAGCAGACAGGACACGGTGTCCTGGTGCAAAGGCTAGCACTGGTAAAACTACAGAAGTCACAAGCATTGTGCCCAAATGCCCAAACACCATACTGAGACTTGGCTGGTGCTGACTGGTATGACTTACAAGGTTCTCCTTTAAACCCTAAATTGCTGCATCGAGGCTTTTTTGGTTCCTTGCTCAAGACTGAAATCAGAACTGGCAGACTTACATTTACCTTATTTGCCCTATCTGCACTTTTGAAAGCTTTTCTGCATCAGTGATCTATGAATTCTTGGAAGCAAATACAAATGCTATTAAAAAAAAAAAAAAAAAAAACTTCTTTGATAGCTCCTCAAATGTTTTGGGGCAAGGGCTCACAGTTCTAAAAATGACTAAATTTGCAAGCTGCTGTTTAAGACCTTCCACTGTTACTATTGGAATAGAAAGTGTTTCATCAGCATCCCGTGATAAAACCCCATCACTTTTTTTTCTGATGAACACATCGGATGTATACTGAATGCTATATAGTTCTGTCCTTTATAGTCAATAGTCCAATACATACTTCTGTCCTTTTGGACTATTACTGTGTCTCCTGGCATATCAAAATTCTTGTTCAGATTTTGTTTATTCCTTTTCACTATCCTTAACTCTACTGGCTAATGATTTCTCTTTGTATTCATCTGTTTGTTGTTTCCACAGTGAATATTTTGATTGCATATATGTTAAGTCAATTTACAAGTTCTCTGATTTTATGTTGCACATTACAAGCCATCCTCCTTCCCTCCTATGCTAGGCTGTTTTTTTTTTCAACCGATGCAAACCTTTTTCTCAGCTGTGGGTTTGTCTTTTGGGGATCAACTAAAACACTCTCGGTGACTGTGATTCAGTCACACAGAACAGGGCAGCCAGCCTCATGTAGGTTTCTCCTCTTTACCTTAAAATGTATCAAATAGACATTTTTTTCCCTTCACAAATATTTTCATGTGACATTTTTGGCAGAACCCTGCACTCACTTGCAACAGATTCATTACTGGTTAGATTTAAGGAACACAGAGTATATTCTCATATATTTAATTTTCCGATTACATTAATTAAATCTGAAGGTAACATACCACTACTGTTTATTCTTTTTTAATTTAAGTTTTAGTATGCACTATAAGATAGTGGGTAGAGTAAATGTATTATGAAACTGTTTGCTGCAGCAAATTACATTCTGGTTAAGTTACTACTATTTATTAGTGATAAATATGTGTCATGCCCATAAAACACTACTTGGCATAAAATGATGAGAAAGCTACTACAAGCTATAGATGATGGTGGGAATGCATGCACTACAAACACCCTTTTTAATGACTTCATTAAAACATTCAGGAAAAGAACTGTAAGTTGCACGTGAGGCCAGAAACAGACATCAAAATGCAGCAAAAGAAGAGGGGCCCTCTACACCTAGAGTAACTTGTATTGATTTATACAAGATAGGAATCCCAGATATTTGTATATGCTGGAACAGCTCTTAAAAAGGATATAGAATTAATTTACAAAATACCTAAAGTATGGTCCTTCAGTGTTTTTATTCACATCTTCTACCCACTTAGCTACATTATATTCTCTTTTGAACCAGGGGTTTAAATACCTGCAGAAAGCAATGGAAGGAACAGAGAAAGCAGAAGAACAAGAATAGAAAATCTGAGAACACACAGCACAAGCTTAGCAAGGATGTCTTCATCCCCAAAATGCAAGTGAATATGGCAAATAAATCAGTATGGATGTTGGGTGAGGACTAGGCAACGTGTACAACTGCATGAGAGAATCTGATCTACAAGACTCGCATGTTTGGTTACTCTGGAAATTAATTTAGTATCTTAAGGGTAAAAGTCACTCCTATGCAGAGGGCCAGCATTAAGCTCATGGTCTGGAGTTCTCTCACGATGTCAAAATCAGGATAAAGGGGCACTTTAGCTCCAGTCCTGCGGTTTGCTTGTTGAAGACACAGGTTTGCACCCATCTGGAATAAATTGCAAAGTACTAGCTTAATGAGTGGAGACTTGGGCTTGACCCTTTCTACAGGAATGAATTTCAGCCTTAGTATCTTTAAAAGCTTTAATCATCTGCTACTGCACTGGCAATTTTTACACTTATATGCAAATAAATTTTTAAATTTAAATTTTTAAATGATCATTTCACAAGGAGCTTTCAAGGACATGGGCTGCAGAGTTCATCTCAGAGTTTGCAGAAGCAATCTTGATACCAACATCAGACCTTTTAGAAAAACCTGCTCATTACATACTCATATCAATTACATGAAAGCTACAAAATAAAAATGGTGTTTAATTACCTGACAATAATATTACCATGGAAAAGGGGAAAAAAATATAACTGGTTCTTTTAGTCACAAACAAGTATAGTGAACAATATTACAATATTTCCTCCTTCCCCTTTATAATGTTTAGATAAAAGGGCAATGCAAAAGCAGCAGTCTGCCCGGTCCAATTTAAGTCCCCTTTTGATTGTAGAAGAATGGCAACAGTTTAACAATTATTTGCATAGAGATTGAGGCACTCAGAAACAAGATATAAATTTTAACCAAGGGGAAAAAAATGAAAGAATATTCCTTTAAGAGTTATTTTTTAGTATTTCTGAATGAGTTCTCACCATTCTTACTTATGAAAGCAGCTCCGATGACCTCACACATGGGAACAGGCCTTGCAAGGCATTGCTCAGATAAGTATACGCCAGATTATGTTATTTACACCCCGATCATATTTCAAACCATGTTAGACAAGAGCTGCACCAGTTTTTCAACCTCTTAGGCCTCCTTTTTTGCTCTGGAACTTCTTCTCCCTGCCCCGCGCAAGCACAGCCACAGCTCTCAGAGTATTTGCCCTCAGCCACAATTGCTTCCAAGTAGCTTCCTCAGCTTGCTTATTTATCAGGAATCAGGAGTGCTTTATGCTTTCCATCTTGGGTTCTTAGAAAATGGCAAAAGTTGCAGCATAGAAACAGCTGAATTGTGAATAAAGCAACAGGCTGACGCCAATATACCAGGAAATAACAGATTCATGGTTTGGCTTTAACTGTAGCCAGGACTTTCTTGAAAATTATAAGTTGCTGTAGAAATTTTGACTTTTTTTTTTTTTTTTCTTTTTAAGAGGTCTTTTGGTAACCATGAAACACTCCCAGTCTAGCATCCTTTATTGGAAAACAAAGTTTAACGTGGTATCAAAGCATGCAGTTGTTGCACAACCCTGCTTGAGATTATCCAGGGCCTGGTTGTGTTGCTGACCGTGATGTACCACCTAAATCCACCTGCTGCAGAAGGGTTAAGCTTGAGCTGCGGCAGGCCACCAATACCATAAGAAAGCTCTTAGGCTGATCTTCACGGCCACCACCTTCACTAGCGATGGCCAGAATCCACTTTTTTTTTGAGTGAGAAATTCTGCTTTATAATAAAGCTGTCCTGACACGTAAGCCACTAGCCCTCCGGCTTGATTTGGCTTGTAGCGCAACATGCAACGATGCAGAAGACCTGGGTTCGAGAGTAGCCGTGCTCCTCAGGCTGCCCCGAGGAGTTAGCTAGCGCTGCGTCAGCAGGAGCCCCTCCAAGCAGCCAAGGTGTTTGCCACAGTGAAACTATCGGACACTGAGGGGAGGAAGGGACTTTCCACGGGATAAAACGGCAGCCCAGCACGCAGGGGCAGGTGAGACTGACCTGTGATCCCGACTCCCTGCTTGGGGGTGCTCAGAACCCCCTGGGCTTATGCCTTGGGTCGGGATTTGGTGGGCGAGGGAAAGCCCAGGCTCAGATGCATGGGTTACCCTGCTGCAAAAACACAATATATAACAGAAAGTCTAAGCCAATGATGTTTGTATCAGTTATAATAATGAGGAAGATAAATGCTTAGAGGAAAAGCAATGCAAATTAACAAAGACCAGAATTGCTGTTTGGCAAAACACATGTTCCCTGGGACCTGTTTTAATACAAGCTCCCATTTAAACTGTCAGCCTATTCAGAAAACCCTCATTATCTTTCCTGGATAATTCTAATTGATTTTAATAGAAAACAATTGTCTTATCAGGCCATTTCATCAACCATGTTTGTGAAAACACTGCAGAGACACTTGGCCTGTTGGCATTCCTCCTGTGAGAACTAAACAGTCTGAGTTAGTAAAGAATGAGAATGTTGTTTTAAAACATCTAGAATCGATGTAAAAACCTCCCAAAAGAGCTTTAACGGTCTCCATGGAGCTGTGACTTTTAACAGAAGCTTTATATCATGAATCCGCTAAGTACGAAGGGTTGCAAAGAGCAGCGACCAGTGCATATTTTAGGAACTGCCCAGTGCACTCGCAGCCCTCTGGTTAGTGCTGTTAATGAGGGCTGCAGAGCTGGAATCCCACTCAGTGCTTAAGATATTTTGCTTAAGCTGCAAATGGCACAATCCTCTGTCTGGCGCATGGCTACATACATAACACCTTGTGCATGGTACAGTTACTGCTGACCCTTGCTACATCAGCTACATCAGACATAATTAAAGGCAAACGTACTGCTGTATATCTGCTTGTAAAAAAGAAAAAATATATATGCCAAGAAATTGAACAAATGGGTCCAATCTTCTAGTGGTTAATTTACACTGTCTCTGCTAGTGACAGTGATTCCTTTCATCCATCTAGCAGCATCACTGCTCCAATCTTCTAGTGGTTAATTTACACTTCTCTCTGCTAGTGACAGTGATTCTTTTCATCCATCTAGCAGCATGCATCACTGGACTTCCTGGGTCACACAGGAGAGCTTTCCAAATGTCAGCCACCATCTCAGAAAAGAACTTAAGGTTCTTCTGTATTCCTCAGAGAAGTGAAGAAGGCAAATCTGTCTGGGAAAAGGCCTCACACTCTGAGGATACCGTGGAAGCAATGCCAGCTGCACTGAAGCTGCCCATATCCAGAGGTATCCTCAGACACACACAACCTCAGCACTGCCAGCACTGCTTTTTGTTTTCCTCAATAAATAAGAAACGCTGGTCACGCTTACATCATTCACCATCCATTCTCCCTTCTCAAAAGTCATCTTTCCAAGCAGACTCAGCGCGTGCCCTCAGCCATTCTCTCTGCTCCTCACCACACGGGCACGGTGGGTGGTTCAGCCAGCGACGTCTCCTACCGACGGGCGCCGGCCGCGCAGAGGAGACTCTGACCGGCCACACGGCCCAACCTCAGTCACCTCAGAGGCCTCGAAGTGCAACCCCTTCGGGAGAAAGGGCACTTCCCTGCCCAGCCCCTATCTGCTGGGAACACATACACTGTGTTTCATTCCTCACACAGTCCCTGCATGGCCCTCAGGAGGGAGCAGCAGCTGCTGCGGGGCTGGGACACAGTAAAAAGCAGCAAGAAAGAAGAGAATTACTGGGTGGAAATTGCTGGGACACTTCTAAAAGACAAAAAAAATATGTAGGTAAAAAGCTACCTAACTCATACCCTTTCTGCCTACTCAGTTCTATTTAGCATCCTGAAGCTCTCAGGGCTAATGCACATCAGCAGAGCAGCACAGAAGGAGAAAAAGATGCCTAATGCTTTTCTGCCTTACTGAGAAGATGATTCTCTTCCCTAGGCAGTTATGTTCACTCTAAGGTTAAAAAAAAAAAAAAAAAAAAACAGTGGATTTGGTTTCATTCTCTAATTCAGCTCCAGTGTTCAACTCTGCTGAAGGACAGAATAATGAGAATAACGGTAACATCATTAACTCACCCTGATTATTTTTAATTCCCCCCCCCCTTCTTTTTTTTTTTCCAGAAATACAACTACAAAATTAAAGTACAGACCAAATTTCTAAAGAACTTGAAATATCATTTGTATTTTTAGTGGTTTGGCCAAACAGACTAATTTTGCTTTTATCAAATTGTCTCGTGCAAGGGGAAAACAAAACCAACAGAGTAACATTCCAGTAAGAGCTTATCACTGCTAAAACCAACACATGGTGGCACTTGACAGATAAACTCCTCCAAACAATTTGGAGCTAGTTTTTCTAGTTCTGTGTTGTCGTTTTGACCATGCAACATTATGATTACTGTGGATCAAGCTATTATTTGCATGGTCTTCTCCAAAAATCTTTCTAAGCCTACTTGCCTAAAGACTGTGCATTGCAGGTTTGCAGAAAAGTTCCAGAATGAACGCACAATTCCCAGACTGAAGAAAACATGGTCCAGAGAGGTGTTAGTGTCATTAGCTTCCAGCTGGTACTCAACTCACTTGCAGTAGTGGGGCCAAATTGGTATAAATGATACAAGGAAAGGGCATAGCCATTGCTGTTACTGTCAAAGGAGGGTCATTCTGTAGCGTCCTAAGTGCTTTAAGAGCAGGCCAGGGCTCAAGAGCCCTTGAGATCCTGTTTCCAGCCATTCACCACTCACCCACATTAGGAGGTGTAAGAACACAGTAAAGGCTGTTTCTCCATGGGGAGCACCATACACACGAGCTCTTCAGCAAATGTAACCACCAAATCAACATGGAAAGCAACTCTGAATCACACAATGTATATGTAAAGTTGTGCGTGTACAAGGCACTTTTTCAAATATGCTCCTGTTTAACGGGGCATGTTTAACTTTTTGTTTTCTTCCTTTGGGACCACATATGCAGCCCACCTGCTTCAACACTCAGGATGTGCTTGTGCTGAAGTCAGCCACCTTGTAAGGACTCTCACAGCATCCAGGGCTTACTCAAGACTGGCTGTCCCGGGCCTGGTGGCATCTCAAAACAGACAGATCCCTCTCCTAAAACCTCCGCACAGGTACTCAGAGATAGAAACCTCTGACCTCAACAATGACCCAGCCCAAGGTGAGGACAAAGGTATAAAGTTATCACAAATAACAAAAAGTTATCACAAATTCACTATTGAACCAGGAAACACTCAGCAATGGCAGTTTACTGTAGACAAAACCCTGCAGTGATGGTGCAGGTTGTCACCATCATTGGGAATTACTATAGGAATGGCTGTGAAGACACCTACATAAAAAAGAAAATTGATAATTAATTTTTAAAGAATACAGGAAAAAAAGAAGAAATCGAAATACATTAGCTATGCCATTTACCAGCTTCTCAGTCAGCAATCAGAATTGGCCACAAGGCAAATATGTAGTCACCCACTTTTCCATACTTTTTTGATACTTTAATCTCAATCTACAAAACATGAGCATGTAAGCTATACTTTTTTGTCTTTGCTGTTAGAAATTCAGACTTACTCAGTTGAATTAGACCGTGGCCTAAATCTTTTGCCTTTGACTTTCTTTCTGTTTCCTCCTATATTACCTGAAAGAGACCAAAGGGTAAAGACACACTGTATAACATCCTGAAAGTCACCTGCATTACATTCCAAACTCTAAGTATTCTTTACATTCATAGTAACAGGGTCATATTATTAGCTTTAGCCATTTAAAAATCATCATTCCCTCTGGATTTATCCCAGCCACAGAAATTTTTGACACTTAGGTGACCTTTTGTTACCTTTTGCTGCAACTGTGCAAACCAAAGACATAATTTCAGCTACTATCTGAGAAACCACTTAAAGAAAAATGCACAATAAAATCATAAAAGCTGGAAGAGTGAATGAAAATCTTCCTCTTTTTCAGATTAGCTCACACTATAGGAATGGTAAAAATTTGGAAATGCAATTTCTACACAATAACACACTATGCAAAAACTGTACTTGTGTAAGACACTACTAAATTCCCACTCCAGGTTAATAATAATACAAACTTAAGAAGTCAGGCTGCTGTCCAAAGACCAACCCAAGTTTCAGCAGAGCAGAGATGACACAGGTTGGTTTCCACTGCCAAGCGCACTCAGGTTCACACTTACCTTGCCAAGAATTACTCCTAGGTCTCCCATTTTCACAGATGTCTGAAATATGTTTCGTGTCTGGGATCCTTTCACTCCAGGAATGAGATAATCCATTTGACCTGGAATTGGAGGGCTCAGATGCCGTTACTGTTAAGGGCATTTGCTCATACGAATATTAGCTCAGTGCTTCAGAGCTCATCGCATTGCTGAGGTCAGTCACAGAACAAAGCCTAAGGTCTGTCTGCACTAGCAGCATATTCTGCATTTCTGGATAAATTGGGCACTTATATTTTGCTGGCTGCCCTGAAGCAGGTCGGCGTGTCCACATCCAGGCATCACTAATGCTTCCTAACGTGGCTGCTGCTGGAGGAACACCAGCGCTCACTAGATTTTTCGCTGTTTCCATCTCTGCCCTAGCACTGAGGTGCAAGGGGTTTTTCTGCCCCGCTTGTCTCCGTGGCTTTTTCCTCTCAGTTGAGCACGGGCCGCCCGGGGCTGCGGCCATGCGCTCGTGCTGCGCTGGGAAGCAGGGACGCGCACCCCTCTGCTCCTCCTCCCACCGCCACAGAAGGAGAAAACAGCCAGAATGGATGGCCCCAATTACTATAAACTGTTATAAATTTATAATTATTATAAAGATGTTTTGCTCAAAGGATGCGTTTTTGTATATTCAAGCAGTCTGAATACTCTCGTGTTTTCCGATCTCTGCTTTCTTTAGAGGGCAGAGATCTGACAGAAGCGCTTCAGATAGCCTCCAAAACACCAGGCTAGTCGCAGCCACTGAATCCCTGAACTGAGCCCTGGGTTTTATTTATTCAATCTTATTTAAAGCATGAAATGCCTGAGAACTGGCAGATTTTTTAATCATTTTCTCTTCCTAATGGTTTCTTTCTAGGCTCAGTAATGTCTTGCTTTTAACTGTTTTTGATGGGGTTTCTTTTTTGTTTGTTTTTCACTCATAACAAGAGGAGTTATTAGGTAATTATGTCTTAATTCTGTAGTATCCTCTGAGACTTCTAACACTTCCCAGCATTTTCCTGAGTGGAGATGACTAATGGCCCAGGCACTCCAAAGCCTGCCAGGAGAGGCCCTAGGTGTCTGCAGGCAGAGCAGAACAAGAGCACTTCCAAGGACGGGGAGCAGCCTCCTGGCCTTGGATTAGGAGAGCCGCATCAGTCGCCCCCGGAGCCCAGGGAAGGCCGGGCAGGCTGACCTGACAGTGCAACGTACCTGAACAACAAAATGCTCTAGTGGAGACAGACCCTCAAATCCACCAGTTTTGTGGAACAAAAAATAAAACAGAGACACATGAAATAAATGGAAGTATGAGAAAAAAGCAAGGTAGAGAACGAAACACATTAAGTGACATTCAATTCAAAACATTTTTTTTTCTTAATTGGAATGCACACCTCCTTACATAAAACCTACGAAAACTTATTTCCCAAGTTTTTTTTTCAAACATTTTTTCCAAATGAGAAAGGATTCTCCTACATAAGCACTGCATCATTTACAGTAACCTCCTTGAAAATAAGTAATTTATCCACTTACAAATCTAAAAGTTGTATTGAGAAAGTTAGAAACCATTAATTACTTCACTATTACAGAGAAACCATTCACTACTTCACTATTACAGTTTCCTTATTAATATATTAAGATTAACATTACAGTTTTCTTATTAACGGGCACAGACCGAAGAAGCCACACAGAGGATCTATCTGGTACACGCCAGGGCACTGCAGACACATGTATTAATTGCACTTTCCTTGAAATAACAGAATAAATACGGCTTTGTTTAGTGCACAAATACAAATTACTCAGCAAGATAAACTGAGACTTCCAGTTATGTTATGAAGTGCTTCAAGAGTATCTGTTCCTCCCATGACATCCTGCTTCTTGTAAATTGCTTGGAAAAGCTGGCCAAAGAAGATTTTCTTAATTAAAGGATCTCTAGCTTCAGAGGGTTGGTGAGCTTAAGGACCTCATGACCTTAGCAACCACTAATGACTGTTAATGCTTTTCAATCAGTTTTCACTTTCAAATGCTGTTGATGTGTTTTTTGTTTTGGTTTTCCTTCTATTAAAGTAACTGGAGAAGAGTAAGATTAGCAAATTCCGAGCAGAGGGAAAATCTAATGCCCTGCTTGGTTACTCAAAGCAACAAACACAAAAGTACAGAAGGTCTCTGTAAAATTATTTCCTAGGATAACACCTGCTGATCATTTAGTGTATTTGTCCAGTAAGTGGAAGTGGAACAAATGGCATGCACCTCCAGCTTTACTGGGAGACAGTGAAATTATTTGCCAGGAATCTAGGTCAGCACAGCTAGTTATTGATGGCGTTCACACATAAAGTTATAAAAACAACATTTATATTAAACAATTTATGTTCATAGCTATCATTGAAGCAAGACAATGTTCCTTTTCTTTGATTACATGACCATGATAAAAAAAAAGTGTGTTTTTTTAATTGAGCATTTTGGGTTGAGTCAACAATTCTTATTGCAGTCTACTTGAAATTAATTCTCAAGCATGGAGATGATGAAAATAAGAATAATCTAAAATTGTTTTCCAATGGAAAACATGTCTATCCTGGCCTAATTGTAATAATCGGTAGCCCAAGACATGTGAGAAAAACAGTAATCAAAGAACAAGGGATTGTGCCATTTTTAACATTCCAAAGAAAGAAGAAGGAATCAAACCTGCTGCAAAACAATGAAATGTTCTGACTAATGGAATAATGGGTGATGGAACAGGTAGAAATCTGAAAATGCGACAGAAAAGCAGACCTCTTCTTAGAACTAGATGCAGAGTTTGTGCTGACTCCAGGAGGCATGTCGCTATAAAAAGAGTCGGCCTCTCCAGGCTTTTTTACATAATCTCCCTGGGGTATTTGTCTAAAGTATAATAAACATTATTGAGTCAGAAAACAAGACAGGTATGAGCACACAAACACACGAACACACAAGTATTAGTCTAAAAGAAAGAGGCAAGCAAAATGATCCTTGGGAAACCTGTTAAACATACACAATAAACATATTAATAAATATTTCAACCTTCAGTGACAATATTCCAGGGTATCTTTGACAGTTCGGGAAAGTGGTATGTAGGTTTGGGTGGGGGAAAACAAGGAATATTTCATTAATAAACTCAGATCATTGGTTTCAAAGTGATTAGTTGGTAGATAATCAAGATTAGACATTTCCAAGGGCTCAGCAAGTCGGCTTGTACAAGTATCTGAACCAGATTCGTGAGCAGAGCAAAAAGGACTTAAGCAAAAGAGAATGAATTTTCCCTTCTAGATGAGACAGGTGGCTTCTGTTTAATTTTTATGATCATTGATGAATTCAAGAACAGCAGCTTGTTGAGCTGTTTAAACGCTCGTAGGAGAAAATTTTCCCTTTTGCAGTGGATCTTGTGCCAGAGATTCTTGGTTACTTCTGACTACTACAGTAAACTCTATCTGCCAAGACACTCAGAAATAACACAACCAACATATAACACTAGTGCATCCTTTCCTAGCAGTAAAAGCTTGGTGTGTGTACATGAAACCCTCCAAGCACTACAGATTCCTGATCCAAGCTACACCACTTCTGTGCAGTGAATGCACTGCCAGCCAGTACCTGCCTCACAGCCAGCCCACGTGCACCTCCACCAAGCTGAAAAATCTCTAATACAGACAACTAACTTGGAAGTCTGCTATATCATAACAGGACAAGGATGATTATCCATACAGCCCTGCACTTTCCAAGGGATTTTTATTTCTATTTGCCACTATTAAGACGCTCATTTACCAGAAGGTCAATTCACATTCCGTCCAGGTCCAACCACAGACCTGGACTAGGCTGTAGCCACTCTATGTTTGAATTTCTAATGCTCCTGAGGTATTTTAAGTATGTAATTATGCAGCACACAAGTTACTAATATAATATAGTACTTCCCAACTACTTCTTCCGTCTTCCACGAGTCCCAGTTCTTGCCTCATTCCTCAGGCAGTAAGTACATCAATATTTCCAGAACTGTCTCTGCAGTTCTGCTGTTCCCAGTTTTCTCTTTAACAAATCATCTTCCCACTCTGGTCAGTCAGAACAGACTTCTATGCATTTGTGTCCTTTACGCTACATTATCTCAGTTGACAGAATCCTTGATAATTTATCTTTTTTATAACTTCCAGTTGACTTATTTCAGCCACTGAGTACTGTCAAATATCATTCTGTACGTACTGCTTGCAGACATGTTAATCTCTTGTTTTCATCTTTATTTAAGGACTAACTGTAAACAGTTCAAAAAAGGGACACTATGATGGATTTATATTTTTCAGTTTATGATATTCTCCTTTTATGCATCCATAAATTGTGCATTTGGAAATCAGTCTATGGAACTTCTTGGAACTTACTAAACACCTCCAGTCTTCCTCCGTCCTCAAAAGCCTCTGATTCTGCTAGTTTCCATTCCACCCATGCTCAGACACAGCTACAAACCAGCTGCATACTTGTCTTTCTCTAATATCTCTAATCTGGGAAGACGAGGAAGTTTGAAAGATTTAAGATGCAATGTGATGCGTTTCTCTTTCTATATTTCAAGGTTGTAGCTGCCCTGTCCTCTGCCAACAGTGAAGTGACTCAAAGGCAGTTTTGCTCTATGTTTGCACATCCAGGGAATTCACTAAGAATCACCAAACCTCAGACCACCGAATTCGGTCTTCCTTGCGGCCAGGTAATATCTCCTGTCTACTGTAATGCTTGATTCAATACCTATGTCAGCTCCTGCCAGCTAACTGACTTTGCTACACACAAATCAATCCGCACGTGGCAGGGCTTTTCTGCTCCAGGCTACTACTTCCAACCTCCAAGGGATAGCACTGCTTTCCAGGCAGAGGAAGTGGAGAACAAGCTTAACAGGTGGCAGCAACAAAGTGGTAACTTGGACCAGAAGGTGGTAATATGAGAACAACATAACATCGTGTCAATATTAATTACTTAATTCTCAGCCTCTAGAGAGCATTTTAATCTAATGGCATATTTGGAGTCTCTTTTACAGGAAATATTCTCCTGTTTTCCCAAATAAAATAGTGCATTTATTGAAGGAAACATCATTTTTGCTAGTGAGTTCAATGAAATTAGGATTTTAAATGAGTTATTTGTAGAATAAACACAGATTTTATATATTAAAGCAAACATTCTATAACCTACAATAATATATCATGAGTATCTCTTTCCTTATGGCATGTAAATGGGCAAATGAGGAAAAAAAACTATTTTCAGACCTTTCTAGTGATGCGTTCTATTACTTTAAACACCTACCTCTGTCTTCTGTAATTTCTTTCCACACAAAGAAAAAAAAAAAAAAGAAGAAGAGGAAAAAATATGAATGAGTTATCAGCCTTCAAGTACACATAGTCAGTAAGAGGAAAAAAAAAAAGGCAAATAGGAAAGTAATGTATACACAACAAGATTTTTGCTCAAAATTATTCTACAGAAACCACTTCTGAAATACGCATATTCATAAATGTGTTAGCTTAGCCTTACTAGTTGATGACTACACTCAACACTGAGTTTGAGGTGCAGTTCATGATGTACAGGGGGCATCTTCTGAAAGGTGCTTTCTTGATCCTGCCCTCCTTAGTGTCCCTTGAGTTCGATGGGTACATGAAGAGTTAACCGAAACCTCCAAACTGCATGGACTCTGCCAATGCAGCAAAAAAGTGATAGAAAAACCTTGGGTACTGACCCCAAGAATAAGATAGGGAAGTGGGAAGTCTTGTGAGGGCAGCGCGGTCTCACTTCACTAAAACTGGGGAATACCCAACTCACTGAAGAACTGATGCAAAACACTCGATAAGGGACCGAAACCCATCTCGCTGACGATGCAAAGGGCAGATAATCTTATGTAACTCGCCTCAGGATTCACGAGCGATCACCTTATAAGGAAGGCCACAGAGCAGTAACGTACTCCTTCCCTGAGAGTACCAGGATACACTCCGTTTCATCGTGTTAATTGCTAGTTGCTATCTACTGTTTGGTAAGTCAATCCCTATATAGCAGTCACACCAGTTAATGGTGGATGTTGTTATCACAAAGATCCTGCACTGCTGAATAAAATCAACTAACTAAAGCCCAGTGGTTGTTGCCCCCCGGATTATTTTACTGTCTCCTTTAATGCACTAGCATGACAGAGATGATACAAGCAAACACGTGATTGTGCAGTCGAGTCAGCTCAGCTCACTAAACACTGATCTTTTCCATCCCCACGTTCATCTTCTGTCCAGTCAGGAAGCTCACCCCAAAGACCTCAGTGCCAGCAGAACTGCGGACGGACAGCACAGGAGGGAGACAAGAGCAGGACTTGTGGTGCCCAACCTCAGCTGGGGTTCACTGCCATCTAAATATGCTTTTATAAAATCTGGGAACTGAAGTTATTGCTTAAATATTGCTAGTAAAATTATGCTGGTCACTAGCTATATCTGATCTGAAAAACTAACTCAGAAAAAACACACACCATAAGAGGATGGACTTCTCCAGCCTCATCCAAACATGGGGGACTTTTCTGTGGGGGATGTGACTTAATTCTTTATATAACACAAGCAAAAGAACTAAAATTTTCCAGTTTTAGGAGAAATTCACAAAGGAAGAGAAACTGAAGGACAGTCATATTCAAATAATCCACTTTTCCTTTCAGTTAGCAGCACACAGGCAACTCTAGGCCAGATGAGAACTTGAATCGTATTTGCAAATTACAGATTTCTCTCTCTCAACAAAACACCTGCTTGAACTAACTTAGGGTTAAGCTGACTGAATACAAATATCTGTTGAAAGAGGCCTATGGTTAAATGCTTTGCTGACTGAGGGCCTATCTTCCTAAGCTTACTTTGCCATTAAGAAAAGATTTGTAATCGAGTCAAATCCTACTCTTGTATTTTCTTTGCCAGATATATTAATATCACAATCTGATCATCTTCAGAAAAGAAAAGGAATGCAAGAAATATATTTCAAGTCTGGATCAAGCTCCCTAAAAACAAAAACACACACACACACACACGTACAAATTGACTGAAAATGCTATTGTTATCAAAATTTCACTAAGTAAACACAATTCAATATGGAGTTTTATATTGTTTTGAATGTTCCCTTCATAATGGAGTTAGCTAACAGATTAAAAGACCATTTTTAAAAACTGTATTAAGAACAACAACAATTTACTTACTTGTAACCCCAAGCAGTTATTCCTAAAACGAGAGCCAGCACTAAAATGGTGCCAGCAATTGCCCCTATTATTATGTTTGTGCTAACAACACCTGGAAACACAAGAAAAGAGAAAATATGCAGCGTTTTAGAAGTATATTTAAAAAATAGTAAATGCACTGTCTTTTAAAAACCTTTTTTAGACAACTTATACTAGGCTGATTAATGGTAACTAGTGATGGAAACCTGAAGTATAGCCAGGATACAGAAATATAATTTGTATGTTTCCTTTAAATGAACACTTGGTATAGGTGAAAGTCATGTCAGTTACATCAATATGTTATAGACATAGTTAAGCTGATGCAATTACAGCAATATAAGCTGCCCACTAGATACAAATTTGTATTGGAATAAAAGTGACTTTTTTGTTTAAATATCATTATAGCTGAACAAACTAGCTCAACATATTCTCCTGCTTACAAGCGGGTCAAGAGATGAATAAAAACTTTTGCTCAGAAACCACAAAAGCATAAAATCTGTGTGCAAACATTTGGCATAGTGACTGCATTATAAAAATTTAACTCCACAACCAGAAGCCAAACATATAGGTCATTTTACCTTTCCACCTAGATATGAAGAGCCCTAGTATTTTTTTGCTTGTCCTAAACAGTTAATATACTTAGCAAGACCACTCTTCACAAGGTGGAGCAAGCAAGGTACAAGTAGATGCACTTGTGCAAGTCCCGGGGGTTGGATCGAATGCTCGTGGGACCACTGCAAGACTGAGAGCACATACAGACACCAAGTGCTCACGCTGAGGAGGGAATGAGGCTCTCAGACAACACACCATGTTGCATGCAAGGTGAGAAAGTAGGAGGTCTAGTTTTGCTTAATGGACACTACTCAAACCCAAGCTTTTCAAATTATTGACAAAAATTGCAACTACATACCTTTTCTGAGGGCCTCTCTATCAAAATACATATCATCTTTGATGTGGGTACTGCAGTCATCGCCTCCCCAAAATCGGTCGCAGACGCACTTTATTTCATTGCTACAAACCTGCATCCAAAAATGTAGATTTTTTTGAAATTGGATGAAGTGGTGAATTTAAAACAATACAGTAAGTTTTAATGCAGTGCCAAAGAGGTAAGATGCCACAAGAGAATGATTCTTTTGAGTTCAGGTCAGCTCTAGGGACCCAGCAACTGTTTCAAACCCTATGAGAGACAAAGGGACTCTGAGGTGACCAGAGTGCACCACGCCACACCAAACCCATGAGCTGGGCACCAAGCACAGAAGTCAGCTCCCTGCTCTCTTCTCTAGCATCTCTCAGCCAATAAAATCCAATGACTTTATGACCATATTCAGATTGTGATACATTACATAGGGAATTAAAAAGAGCATCTGGAAGAACAGAGACCCATGGTAAGAGAAACAACTGATTTTTTTGTTATTTTTGTAAAAAGAACTTCTCTTACTGTCTTACTGTGATCTATTACTTTGGATGCCCTAACTATAACATATTACACATACTTATGTGCTCCCTTCATCTTTTGCTTTCAGAAGCTTCTCCAGTATAGGACTTCTTATGCTACAGTTATGGCTTCCTGAAGGATCTGACAAGCACTCTGCACAACACCAGACATATTCAGGGAGAATAGCAAAAAGGATTATACAATATGAGAACATACACCATGCCCTGAACAAATTTGGGTTTCTGTGGTGCCTGGGCAGGTGCTGAAGTTGAAGGACTCGGTGGGGAGGCACCGATGCTCCAGGCACACCATGTTGGGCCCGCACGGCGTCCCGTTCTCCACGTAGCCCAGGTCCGTGTCCTCATCGAGCTTCACGTGGCCACCACTGCAAGACAATCAAGAAGACCCTAGAGACTGTGTGTTGCCACCAGATGGAACTGCTCGAGAAAGTGGCTGATATCTTGGCTGATACCTTCATTTCTGTCTGCATTATTTGATGTGCAGAATCAGGAAACAGCTGTGAGTACTGGCTTACTTATCTACCTGGTCTACTGTAAAACAACCCAAAATGCAGTGTATCTACATCAAACAATATAATAGCAAAAATAAAGACCATTTTTCTTGTATAAGAGCTGCTGTTGGAAAAAACACTGATTTTACTTGTATAGGACTATATTTCATCTTACAACTGGGATTCAGCTAACATATAGCAACTTACTAAGCAGTCAGTTAGCTCTGGCTATTCAGGTACATGTCTAGGTATTTTAGGTACATGAAGTACTTTACAAACTTTAAGAAATGTAGTATCAAGAGAAGAGCATTAAGTCTGCAGAGGCAAATTTAACTACTACAGAGGGGCCAACAAAACAGCCTATGATCCTGATGCACAATCACATTCCTGAAGGTCGAGTTGAAATAACGCTTATAAAAAATTACCTGCAATTGTATACTTTTCCAAACTGCAAGACAGATGATGTGATTTCACCATCAAGCTCTCCAAGTCTGGGCACACTAGATATATTGGAGCACAGAAGGTAACCACAAAGGACATCCCTGTGTTGAGAGGTTAAACAGACATTCATGGAAAAGAAAATTCAATGAAAATAGACATTTAAAATAGATGTGTTTTTCTTCACCTGCTTTACTACACATCTGTTACTTCCTGCCGTCTCTCACTGACAGAAATTCCCATAATGTTTCCCAAGAAAACGATCCTCCTCTGAGCTTTGACTAGGGACAGAAGCTTTTTTATGAAATATTATCAAAAATGCTCTGAGTAATAACAAAAAGGCAGCTATCAAGAACAGAGCACATCAAACTGATTTAATAACCTATTAGGACACAGTAACAGGCCAGATAGCGGAGCAGCAGTAGAAAGCAGCTTTACACAAAATCTCAGATGACACATCTCTAAGGGAACCAGAGAAACAAAGTTTAACTGAAGCCTTGCAGGGCGCTTTTGCAAACTGTGCAGAGACTGGGCACTGTCAATTAAGGGAGGGTTTCATCAAGGGTCCTGCAACCACTTTGGTCTCAGCCTTTAGGAAGAATAAGGGCCACCAGGAGATAGGCCAGAAGAGAGCCACAAGGACGGCTCACGCTGAAGACAGGACAGGAATCGGAACAGAAAACATGAAAGCATGATCTGTGAGAATAAAAGTAGGGAGCTCTGCTTTTTTTTCTGCTTAAAGAAGATTTGAGGAGGGACCTGAGAGCAGTCTTCAGATATCTAAAAAACTGTAAAAGGAGGAAAATATGCTTTCTATTTCTGTACCAACAGCACAAGAAACAGCTTTAAATTGCAAAGAAACAAATTAAACATTAAGGAAAACATCCTAATGACAAATTGCTGAAGATTCTTGAAGACCAAACATGTCATATCTGTAATGCCACAGGTACAGCTAATTTTTTGCCTTGGTGTGGTGGGACGCATTAGAAGACTTCCCAAGGTCCATTCCAATCATGTTTTCTACATTTATGCAACTGCTTCTTCAGGAGATACTTGCACTTAAGTAGACAGGCATAATGCCTTTAAAAATATAGTTTTTTATACAGAATAATGTTGGACTTGGTAAACCAGAATATGACCAAACACGCATCAGATATATCCTACAGGGACCCTGGACTTTCTTCGAATTTAAGGCCAAACATTCAGACTTAAAATATTCATGAGAGCTGAAAGCACCTGAAAACACGTGACAGCAGCCAGGATAGGGCACTTTCAATTGAAAACTCTGTTCGCAGGAGGGAAGATTCATGACTCAGTTCCAACCAATCCCAAAGCTCAGACAGTGCTTTCATGTTGGAGGCCATATCCCTTAGCTGCCCCCCTCCCTCAACACTTCAACTAGCATTTGCAGATGATGACCTGACTCCTGGAGAACACTCTCTGTATGTGCGGAGGCCTTTAGAGCACCTTTATGCCAGCTAAAGAACAGGAGCAGAGCTAAAAATCTCACAGCAGCTTTTCTGGATGGATCAACTTACTGTTTATTGCACTGTATCCAAGAGTCCTTGTCTCTTCCGCAGTTTCCTTTCTCAGTCCCTTCAATATTCAGTTTCTCGTAGCAGTACCTGTCAGCAGCTGTCACTTCTAAAAACAGAAACAAATCTCTTCTAAGATGATGAAGACTTTTAAAAGCAAGGTCTTTGGGAAATAGGGATGCGTAATCAAAGCAAGCAGGGCTTCCCAAACTGCGACCTGCAGTATCATGGTCTGCAACTGCTCTGTGAAGCTCTGCCAGCTGCACAGTGTTTCCAGAGAAAAGTGCTATGCTGGCACCACATGACTCTTAAGATTTGGTACAGACTGGCCATGGTTTATTGTTCCAAAATATCTGGAGGCCACTGGATTAAATCACATATGAGTGCAGGGTCCTTAGGTGGCTATTGATGAGAAGTTAAACCTGAGGCTTCAGAACAATCATCAGTAGGTTAATCGACACTAGAGAAAGAGCTTGAAAAGAGAGAAATAAAAGGTGAGAGAAAGAGAAAAAGCAAGTGGTAATTGTCTCTCCTTTTTAATTGCCTGCCCATCAAAGCTATTCAGCAAAGGATGCTCTGGAAGTACCACAGACAAGCCCACAAGGGCCTAATGTCCTCACAGGGGCAACCAGGTGAGATGACAGAGCTGCTCTATTCAGCAAAGGATGCTCTGGAAGTACGCCATTTTTAAACAAGCCCACAAGGGCCTAATGATCTCACAGGAGCAACCAGGTGAGCTGACAGAGCTGCTGTAACGAGCCTTCCAAATTAATTAGCCCTATTTAGGCAATTATGCTAAACTGAATAAGCTTACAAAAAGCATCAGAGCTTTCTGAGCCAGACTCCAAATCAAATTTAGACTCCCAACTTTTAGCAGCTTGTGTAAGGAACTCAGTATTTGCTGCACTCCCTCGGTTTCCCAACATGAATCACACTACTCAAGGTGTTATTTATCTGCAAAAGGTCCTGTATAAACAGATCACTGCAAGTCCAGGCTGCACAATGCTCATGTAATTGTGTAACACATCCCACATTCAGCAGTGATAGTTCATTTAACCAAACAGACATTACTGTAGGCCTTTGAAATGGGAAAAGATAAGATGCAATTGGTACCTTTGGAACTATAATGCAACGTATGCCCTTGTTTTTCAATTGTACCCTATAAAACTTGGTACATTGCTAATCAAACACAAGCAGGAAACTTTTCACACTAAGTGAGAAAACAATTAGAGAAATCTTACATTTGGAAAGATAAAGGGAAGTATTTATTTTATCATGCAGACCAGAGGAATCACCACCAATTTCTTTCTACCAGTATGTGGTTGTCATGCAACATATCTAAGTTCACTGAAATCCACGCCGGTTAAACGGCATGTTAGCTAAATATATATTTTGTTTTCCAAAAAAACAGTATTGCTCTCAGCAGCAGACATTTTTCTAGAACCTCCTGTCCTTTAAACAAGGTATGTAGTCTAAATGCTGATCTGCAGAGCTCTCCTTAATGACTATCCATTGCAATTTCTCTTCCCGTTCTTCCATTCAGCTAAGGTTTCATGCTTGCCTAATGCACAGTTCCTGACAGTAAAAGCAAGGGAACCACCGTCTTATGAAAAAGGTAAAACATGGAACTGCAGAACTCCAGTACTACAAAACCCACAAAAGAATTATGTATCTGACAAAAGGATGAAAAATATAGATTTAAAGAATTGTACTTAAAGTTTGAGGGCTTCAGCATTTGCCTCAAAGGAGAGGGGAAAAAAAAATCCTAAAAAACTGAAGAGCAAAGTTCAAAGGAGAGCAGAGTTCAGCATCTCAATGAATATTTTTCACAGCAAACAGTCCCAGTTGATTTTGTCTCTTTTCCAATGATTACAAATAAATCTCTTTCCATAACTGTTCTCAGATAGAGTAATATTTCAAGCCATATGAATGATAACCACCTAGAAATATTATTTACTCACTTTCACCCCAGATATATTTACACTGCCGGTCCCTGGTTTTACATCTTCCTCCAAAACAAATACCCTAAAGAAAAGACACAAAAACAGCCTTAACATACAGACTTATCACATAAGCTCTAATGAGGTAAACACCTAATATGTGGTTCTGCTTTCTAGGTTGTTCATTTAAATGTTTAGTACCAAACTAATAAAACCCCAAATTCAGTAACGTTAATGGAAACATTAATGTCCCAGATGACTTCCAAAATCCTAAGCCAATTTCTAAAATAAAAATCATCTATAAGAGTCATCTAAAAGCAACCATGTAAAAAAAAAAAAAAACCCTCAAGTGTTGATTACCTGTTTGTTATCACATGAATATCCATCCATTTTATGAATATTTGGAGAACACTACAGGAAAAGAAAAGAACTGATAGATAATTCAGACAATAATGAAAACAAAGTCTACAACAAAGATCATCTTTGGATCTTTGGCATATAGAAAATTATTTAACTATCATGCCTTCCTTCTGGGCACATAAATGGTTTAATACAAGTTTTATGCAATTTACTATACAAAGCAGTGTCATTCACATTGTCTACAGGTACTTTTTGCATTCCTTGGGTAGAAGAATTAAGTCACCTGACTGGAATTTCCTGTGCAGTTCTCTGCAATATCACAGTCATTCACCGCTTCTCGGCACAAAACTCCTTTAGGTTCAAACTGAAAAAAAGGGACAGCAAATCAGCACCTTAGTTTCTCCGTATCTTGTTTTGAATGCAATACTTACTAGAGCTTGAATTAAAATTTTTTTAAAAGGAAGGAAATTCTCCAGTGCTGACTGAAATGGCGAGGTTTTCCTTTGCTCAGTGCGGCCCTTCCAACAGTCCATCCACAGGCATTTACTCCAGAGCCTCCATTCTCAGAGGCACCGAGCATGGGACTTGCCAGGAAAGCACCATGCCAGGACCCAGGACTCCTGGGGTCTATCAAACCAGCACTGCAGTGGGTTTGTGGCACTATCCGGGCCAGATCATTTCACATGTTTGTGACTCCTTTATCAGTCTTTGTAGAACACGGGACACAAGCCCGGGTTTCTTTGAGAACTGCTTCAAGATCTGTGGATAGAGAGGGCTACAGACCTCTAGGTGCAATCTCTGTGCTTGCAAAAAAGCTCCACTGCTGTCGCTGAGCAGAAACTACTCATAAATGGATTGGATTCCGTATGATTTGACACCAATTTCTAAACCAACCAGATATTTAACAATGAAAAATGTACCAGTGACCTAGCGTACACATTTGCAATCTGATTAAAGACTTCTGTAAAGCCCCAACAACTGTAAGAGGAGGCAGACATCCCAGTAGGAGTGACTATCTGCACTTAGCTTTGTTAGAATCACTCTTCTCTGTCCGGTCATGTCACTTCACATAGACATATTACAGAACTCTTGTTTTCCTTGGAAGATTTCTTTACTTTAGCTACTCAGTTCATTTTTGCAGCTCTTTGTCTTTTTTGTTTTCTGGATCTGGATGCACATTTAGAAGCTGCCATGAACTAACACACATCTATAGAGGACCTAGATTCTGATAGACACCAACGCTGGAGATATCCTGAGACACAAGTATGTACACTATTCTCACCGTGTTTTGTTTGTACACAGGAGCTTTCATATGGTGCCACTATCACTTGGATTCTTGAACAAAATTCACCCACTCTGGCAGTCTGCTTTTTTATATATTACGTTTTTTAAAAAAATATATTAAAAAGGAAAAAAAAGAAAGGAACGTGCTCAGGAAAATATGATCTATTCTGGCATAATCTGTACTTTTTTTAGGATTAGGATGAGCACAAAGTCAAGAATGTGGTCCACAGCTATTACTAATGTTCATCCAAAGGAAACAAAACCCTCAAATGTCCACAGGTGAAAATAAAAGCATCTCACACAGTACACTGCAGTATTACTAACAATAATAATAGTAATTATTATTGAGTCATATTGATGTTTGAAGTCATATTTAGCTGGGCTCCCTTGCAGATCTGCCTAGATCACATTTTACTACTTACTGATATACCAGGAAGAAAAACTTGTAATTAATACAGGGCTTAACTCCCTTTACTCAATGGGCTTTTAGCTGCCCAAACATAGAAACACACAGAAAGATTTGACTGAAACTAAAGTCAAATGTCTTTTACATACACATTTTAAAATACTTGGTGCTCAGGATAATCCAGCAACTGAAAGGAAGACATTCTGGAAATGACCTCTTGGCAAAAACATGTGCACATCTGAGCAAATACGTCTAATGGAATCGCATGGGACTTTTCGGCCGATTCAAACAGAAACAGGAAGACTTTGACTGACCTCTGTGTTTGATCATAACCCTTGTCCTAAGAAATCAAATCTAAAAGACATAGAATAGCCTAAAAGGACAAGTTTTCACCCAAATCTTTCAGAAAAGAGACTTTGAGCAAAGGAACAGCAGGTGTGAGAGCAGCCACGCGAGTCCCACGCCGGCACAGGAGCAGGGCTCGCGGCGCTCACCCGGCACTTCCTGCAGCAGAGCCCGTTGCTGCACTGCGCGCCGGCCGTCAGCGTGCACAGGCTGCAGCACTCCCCTCCTTCGCTGGCACACTCCTGCGGGAAACACGGACACAGCACGTCACCGAAACTCCTTCGCTCCTCATTGCTCTAGAGCACTTCTCGAAAACATTTCACCTGGGCCTCGAATGCACCTGGAGACATACCAAAACAAAACCCCAAAACAAACAGGCCCAACAACAAGCACTGCGAGGACTAAAGCTTTTTGCTATGCTATATAGGAAATAATTGCATTAATTTCAGTGTCATTAAATACTTTCTCAAATACCATTCTGCCTGATTTTGCTGTAGTAGCTTCAAGATTTACGTGACAATAAAATTTAGAAGCTGGCCCACATTGTGGGGACCACAGTGTGTTAAACATGATGGAAACAGGTAAAACATGAAGCATCCCAGGTCCTTAGCTCTGCCTGTCTTCCCAGACTTAACGTTATGGGCAGCAAAATGTCCTGGAGAATCCAGTTACTATTTGACAGTAAACTGCACTTACCGCAATAGTCCCACAGTCACATTCTTCCCCCTCTTCCACAAAACCATTGCCACATTCTGGAGGATCCAGAAGCTGCAAAGCAAAATTAGAAATCAAAGAACTTGACTTTCCTAGACATATTCATTCTGTACAATGTGCTTTTTTAGCTGGCACTCCAAATGTATTATCAAAAACAGAGCACCCACACTTTAGGGGGAATCAAGTTAGAAATAACACAAATAAAACATGCACAGAATAACCTACCCAATGACTTAATTCAGCAAGTCTGCAGAGCAATATGGCATCATCTAGGTTAAGAGTGCCATTTTTATGGCAGATTCAATCTTTGCAGAAGCCACAGTCAAGAATAAGTATGAGAGCAAATGAAGACAAATGTAAATAATACAACACTTTCATTATAATTAGAGGGGCTGCGATTGTTGTTGAACCCTAGTGATGACAACCAAGTCCCAGGTTGACTTCCGTATTAACCGTGAGAAGGAAAAGCCATAACATTGTGCTTTGGAAGCAAACAGCACAGAAGTAAAGGAAAAAGCTAAGATTCTGATTCGGTCTTTGCTACAGCTAGATGCTATTCCCTTTCTCTTTTCCTACACCACATTTTTGAATTTGTAACAGTTTTCAATAAGGACAGCTGGTAACGCTGCTGCTCTCCTCCACTTGTCCCTCCCTCCTAAGGCTGCAACTTTTAAAAGTCTAAATCTGTGTATCTGTAGTAGCAATAACTCCCTTTCCCACAGGCTGGATTTATTCACCATTTTTAATAAGAATCCACATTTTTCTCTCTTTTAATGAACCCTTATACTTTGTTCTTTATTTTTGCATTGTTTCCTTTATTGTAAAATTTCTAAAGATGATTCTTCGACAAGGGAAAAAAAATTAAAAAAGCTTTTCTTGGGGCATAAGAAAACATAACAGCAACTTTTATTATCTAAATCAGAAGGTATATAGGGTACATAAGCACCAAGGCAGATCCCGCGATCCAGCTCTCCAGTTAAACTAGGATCATGCCAGGAACCACTGTGCTGGCCAGGCATCTGCAGGGGGAAACGTGCACAGCTCCTTCTCGCTGCTGCTGCTGCCTCAGCTGCCGGGAGCCCGGGCTGGGGGTCTCCATGCACACGGCAGCGGTGCCACAAACCAGCGCGGGGGCCACGGCACGGCGTGACGGGCTGTGATCAGATACCTCTCTGAAACGACTGCAGCTTGAAATGCATGGGTAGAATATTACATTAAATATAAGCAAGTCATTTTCTTTCAGAATTATTAAATAGTTGCTAAAACTGCTTGCTTTCTAGATATTTTCCCAGGCATCTTAATTTCTTCACCATCTCTAAGCGTGCTGCACAAGGAGACTGAAAGTCAGGGGGTCCTGCCATAAAATGTAGGGCCAATATGCAGCAGAACAGGGTCAACTAAATATTAAATTAAAGAAAAAACATGAAAGCAAATTAGATCTATTTGCACTATAAGTCTTTATATAATTCAGTTATCCATTAAAAAAGCATTATATTCAATATGCTTCGCCAGTCATTAAAGTAATTTTGAGGATCAAGGCTGTGGAACACTGGAGAATACTTCACCTTCACACATCGCATTTCCTTTATCTCATATTTCTTTAAAAGCACATTTATATTTTACCACTCTTTCTGGGAAAGGTGCCTCTTTTATAGCTTCATGAATTGGGCAGACACATTCTTAATAACTTTAAAACAATTCAAACAATACATGAAAGATCAATCACATCTGACTTCCACATTTTCAAATCCCATGAGAAAAAATGCAAATGCTGCTAATCTAAATTGAGATGAAAGTAAATTGTTTTTCTTTTTGTCCAAGTGACAGATGTGCAGTGAACATAATTGCCAAACAAACCCAAGGAAGGCAGCATTATGTCATGGAAAGAATCCACTTAACAAAAAAATAAAACAATCAGCATTTCTCTCTGCCTATAATGAGATGGAAAAAGCACATTTCTAAAATGCAGGCATGTTTTAAAAAACGAAAGGCCATATATCTTAGCAATGAATTACACTGCTCTCTCGCACTTTTAATAATAGGCACTTCCATGAAGCATTTTGAAGAGATAAGTAGATACAAACTTTTGCTACCAGTCAGCAAAACAGAAGATGGTGTTTTCTGTATGGGCCTCTAGCGGTGCTTTCAGTAGGTGCCAAGCACCAGGAAAAAAAATAAACTCATTCTTGTTTATTTATTAATAACATCAATAAATGAATGAATGAATAAGAAATATTCAAACTTGCCATTCTTAAGCTATCCAGATTTGATGCCTTCTCTTCTGCTCTCCAATATTTACTGAAATTCTGTGAATCTGTCAGAAACTGTATTTTTTCCTCAGTCACTCCAGAAGGAACTTATTGTCTCTCTGTCCTAATCTGTTTCCTTTGCTCATTGACAGACAACCATTAAGTAGAGATTAACATTAAGTATATGCAAGAAAGAGTCACAACAGAGTGGGGTGATGAACTGGGCAGCCAGTGAACTGACTGGAGAGTTTCTAGGAGCTCTATCACATCTGGGATAGATGTGAAACAAAAGCAACCTGGCTTCAGCTTCCAGAGAATTGCACCAATGCAAAGCAAATTAGAATCAGAATTATGCAAAGTTTACCAGACACTAGAAACCCCAGCAAGCAAATTCAACAACACACTGTAATTACAATATACAAGAGAACTGCATGAGGGATGGTTCTAAATCTAAGCCTGGGAGAACTCTGTTGGGCATGAAACCAACTGTTAAAAATTATTTAAGTTCAGTTAAATATGATTGCCAAACTACTGTTAACTAAGATCAGCTGCTTTCACCAAATTGTCACCAGGAAATCTGGAACTTAGAGAAACAGAAATGTCAGAATTACAGAGTTTTTCTTCTCATAATATTGCTCTTACTCTTCTTAGATTCTTATAAACCAGAAAAATAATAGAAATAATACTCAAAAATAAGGTAATATTTACCTTGGTGGGTTTATTGAAAAGGCAGGCTCCACCACCACTGTTCAAAAATTCATGATACTCTTCAATATCACACTTGGAGAACTTGCTTGGCAGATAATACCTGCAAAGACGCAAGATAGCAGGAGTATTTTCCAGAGTGCTTTTTGCAGTATATCTTCTTCTTTCTTCAAAACAGGGAGATGAGAAACATACAGCTAAACTCTAGAAAAAGTCTAGTGTAGTGTCACAGTTCTGAACCAAGGTATCTGCTTGTAACTCAGTCAGATCCTATTTACAGGGAAATAATTTTCCTCTTAGTAACTTGAGTTATCTTTATATTTAGGTCCTTAGTCACAAGAGTATTTATGAATCCATCAAAGTTTGGAGTCTTAAGGTTCTTCCTCTACCATGCTCATCACTGGATAAAAGATATTAGTGAAAGTACTATACAGAGTAATCCTGCACTGCCAGGAATGGTGGCTTGCAAAGCATAGCTGGTCTCTGCCATCCCTAAAGATTACATTCATCTAAAGATTACACAGAATGAAGGATTCATCACCCTGAAAGCAGCTTTCTAAATATACAATACTATTTTGCATATAATTGTTTGAAAAGTTTGGAATTTAGACAAAGAATTTAAAGACCATTAAAGAAGAAGTCACTTTTTACAAGAAAGTTGGGATGCTTCCAAATTTTGCTTTTAAAAGCCACCAGAAGAAACATATTACATAAGTGTTTAGGTAAGGAAGGCTTAAAAAAAGGCCTACATCTGCACGTTCAAAGAGCTTTGAACAAAGTATGCTTTTTTTTTTTTAAATTGTTGTTCACAAATTGTACTGACCACAAAGCTGTTAGAAAAATTCTTATGTCAGAGTGAAATAACTTTAAAAATGTAAAGTGCTGTCTGTACTTAAAACCAGACTATAGCTTAGTTCATATGCATGACAGAAGACAGTTCTGTGATACAAAGAATTAAGGCCCAAATAAACACTCTAGGAATTCTGATCAAATTTAATCTAAAATCAAAAAATTCCCAGTACACTAAGAGCCATTCTTTACATAAAATCTCTCTAGGAACTTTGTGGGTAGATGTGTACTAGGCCTTTAAAGCAGGTCCACTGGCTTCTTCATGTATTACACAAATTGGGGTAAAAAAACTTTAAAAAACATATGAAAAGTTTATGAAAAATGACAGAAAATGAGGTATACATAAGAAATTTGACCATAGTATTTCAAGATTTTGGAAGTGTTACTATTTTTCCCCCACTCAATAGCAAATGCACAGGACAATGTGAAAATGATTCTGTTTCTTTCGCAAAGAACTGGGCTGGCTGTTGAACTGCTGGTCTTTGTGTGTTCAACTAGCAGTCACTAAAACCCTCTCTTATTCTCTGATTATCTCACACGATCTTGTATTTCTTCAAAGGTGCTTCTTTCTAAGAATGTTGTACAAATAATTAACTTTCTGAAAAACGATTCACAGAAAATACTCTGCCACAACACAAAAGGTATCTATTTGCAGGCTTTTCCTTAATGGCACTGTATGAATGACATGAGTGTCCTCCAGGGAACTGCTTACCCCGTGTCTCCCATTATGCAGCCAGACCACGTGTCTTCACACTTACATTCACCTGACAATAAAAAAGTAGAACATATTTACACATTGAGGCTTGTAAGAGTCCAAATTAATATATTTCTTATCAAAAAATTACATCGTGGTCACCTCATTTTACATTTAAATATAATCTGAAAAGAATATTTTGCTATTTCATTGCATACCTTAACTTAAGCATGTGTGTGCACATGGACAAACCTTATTTCAAAGCCTATACCTGCTTCTATGCAATTCTGAGCTTTGAAAACCTGTCTTGTTTGTCCTTCCTTCTCTTAAATGAAGTCAGATAAAACTACAAGGTCAGACTCAGGCACCTGCAAATCACAGGCCAGCTCTCCTTCTTCCTCCCAAGTCAAGGCACTGGATTTTCAAATTTTCGGAGGAAAAAAAAAAGAAAGATAAAAAAACACAACAAACCTTACAACTGCTTAGTTCTTTTCTACTGGTAACATCAGTGTGACTGGAGAAATCTCTACTCTCTACTTGAAAAGAAAAAAAATTACGCAAAAACGCACACACAGCACATTTTGCAAACCTAGCAAAGCCCAGGGGCACAGAGCAGCTGATTCCTCCACCCTGGCACCTTCCCTTCCTGCCTCCTTTCCCCATGGACTCGGCGGCAGAGCCCAGGCCTCCCACCTGCTCCGCAGAGCCGGCTGGGATTGCTCTGCTCTCACTCTCAGGTTCCAAAATGGTATTTTGTGCACATTTCTACACGTGGGCTTTGCATGGATGACTTTTTCTGCAGTGTGTATTACTGTACCACATGAATATCAGTTTATTGCTTCGTATAAGTAAAACTGAAGAGGAAATGAGGCTCTGCCCATTAGTTTTGGTTTCCCTCCTCCCTATGCCCCCCCAAAAAAGCTGGTGCTTCTGTTCTGCTCAGCCACAAGACAGCGGAAGTCACCACTCTTATTTTCACTTTCCTTCTGCCCCCACATCAAGTTAATAATGTGCATCCAGAAAATGAGTACTGAAGCTGTCGGTAGCACAGAATCTCTTTCCTACATTTCTGAATAATTTTCAAAATACAATTATGTGAATTGCAGAAATCTTTATATGCAGATATATCTCTACATTATCTACTGTTTTTTACAATGGCTGAAAATAAAATTAATCTAAAAGAGATTTCCATTATTCAGTATAGTAATTATATTATTTTTTTCATATGCTCACTTTCAAAAAACAGTAGCAATCTTGTTTTTCTCATCAGCTACGTAAGTATCCATGACCTAATAATTAAGTACTCCATCATCCAAATACTTTTAAAACTATATGAATATTTTAATCATCCACTGTCCTCAGCGTGCTGGGACTTTGTATAAAGTGCAACCAGCGAGGGCGACATGCTTGTAGGGGAAGATCTGAATCAAGGAGCTGCAGGTAAATAAGGTTTAGTAAGAAGTTGAATACCAACTTATAGCAAGGCATTTGGTAAGCAGCACAAAGGTAAACAGAGCAGATTGGGGTAATAAATAACAAGAGGAATGGACTCAAAGCAGAGAGAGGCAAAGCCATGTGGTAAGAACTACCCTGCATCACAGGAGTTAGGTGGCTCCCCATCCTCAGATCATTAATGTCCCTCTGCCTCCGCACACTATGGTGGCAGCCCACTCAGTCTGGGCACTGACATCAGTCTCACTGAAAGGCATGCAGGTGGCAGACACCTCTGTGATCTGTTTTTAGTCAAACAGAGACATTAGTGCTACTAGCAATTATAGGCAGGGGAAATGACAACATTTTTATAGAGAAAAATTCACGTTTTGCCAGTCTCTCCTCATGTTATTACAAGAAAAGTAAAAAAAAAAAATCCAATATTGTGAGAGCCATGAGTAAAAAAGTCATATCAGACACTGGTAAGTTCCTCCATCTATTTAGATGCTCTCAAGAGAAGGTGAAAAAGCAAATGAACTTACCACTTAATACTTTTCTTCTATCTGAGAAAATGCCAATATTTTGGGCTAAAGTCTGTGCCAGCGTAACTGCCATTAAGTCTGGTTTTCCAAACTGAAAGAAAGAAGCAAGGCAGGAACAGTAATCAATGAGATAAAAGTAGCTCAGATGCAACAAGTTTTGGTTTTCTCATTTAAAGGCAATATTCTGAGGCAAAATCAGATGCAAAGTGTTATAGCTCCTTACTACAGCTACAAAGGGGGCAAGTGAGGAAGACCAAAAGCTGTCTAAAGAGCAAGCAAGAGAAACTTTTTTCTTGCCTTTTTGGCTGCAAGTATGAATGACAAGATCAGACACAAAAGTGTGTTTATCTGCCTTTATTTAAACACCATTTTTTATTAAAACATCCCTTCGGAGGACTAAACAGCTGGACTAAAACACTGTATCAGCAATGAAACAGCAAGGTGTTTTGAGGAACACGTCCATGCAGATTAGTTCTGCAATTTCCACCTCGCTTTGCTCTTATCACCACCTACCTCATTGACACCTCCACCCTTCAGCAAGGAGCAGATTCCACCGGTGTGGGCTATGCCGCTCCGACTGCTCTGAAATCGACTCCCCCTTTAACAAAAAGGGGAGGAAAAGAAGATTACTTCGCTCAGCCTTTGAGCTCTTCACCTAACCATCCCAGTATTTACCTTCCTCACCTCCAGAGGAGGCACCAGCATTTGCAATTGCCAGTTGCTACCACATGCTGCAAACTATGCAAAAACATAAAGCTATTCACAAACCTCACGTGAAAACTTTTCAAAACTGTCTCAATAAAAGTGATACCATCTTCCCATCTCCTTCTCCGATTACATTGCATGGGAAAGGTTGGAATAAGGAGGGGACTATTTTGCCAAATCTCCTGCACCTCCCCAGCCTTCTGTCTGTTCACACCTTCATCAGCATGAGGACCTTAACTTGAGCTACAGAGCAAGAGATACCACTTTGGTGCAAAGGAGGTTCTGCCATTATGGACAATGGGTTAAAAGCTGCATGTCTAGGCCGGCCGTGTAGATGTGACCAAGATTCAGGTGAAAACCAAGCAGTCTGCACTGCCCGAAGCTGGTGGAAGCTCCCCAGAGCTGCAGGCAGTCCTGCCAGGAGGCAGGTACTCCAGTGTCCAGGTCTGGCCATCGCTTTGATGCTGCCCACATCAGCATGAGTGACAGCCAGACATGGGAGGCAGCAGATACTCTGCACCACATCAGAGCACTGACCCACGCCAGCTGGGGCAAGCTGATTTTTCACAGAAAAACAGAAAAACACCAAAAAAAAGAATACAAGTAACTGGTGCTGAGGGCACAAGTTCACTTGTAGGCTGTGTGCTCCATCATGCGAGCCAGGCTCACCTCCCAACTCAACAGTGTCTTCCTAAAGGATGCAAACTGAGAATTTATATTTCTAAATAATCTGTGAAAAATCACACACCATCATTTTTGTTTCTGTTTTGGTCTGTACTGGAATTAGTATTACAGTAGGACCTAAAGTCCCCATTACCAATTCAAATAGGGCCCTCTTCATCACAGTCAATCCACAACCACTTGTAAGAAAAACTGGTTCCCATTTTACAGATGAAAACTGAGATACAGAGGAATTAAAACCTGCAGGCATCAGCTGCAGATCTCAGCAGGTCGATGACAGGAATTAAACACATGCAAAAAAGTTTGAGGGCTGGATACTGCAGTTGGGTATCGTTTTTCCTCATTTAATTTGTGTTAAAGCGAGTTTTTAAGCTAAGTTTATTCCTGTAGGCTCCTAAAGCATCATCACAGAGAGATAAGGACTCTCACAGAGCAACGGCCTATCACTTGCAAGTCAAAAATCATGAACCTTTTGTACACATATTGACTGTTACATCAACCTCATCAGCAAAATAATTGAGAGATTTAGGGAAAACAGCATTCCTCTCACTTCTCTTCTAGCACATGTTTATGCAAAAAAACACTTTTAAGGAACTGCAACCTGCAGCATAGAGGTCGCTTGACAAAGTCAAGCAGGCCATACTGCATTTTGGGGTGGGCTTTTTTTGGGGGGGGGGGGGGGGGGCTTTTAAGCAGAAATCCTCATTGGTTTCAAAGCAGATACTCTGCTTTTCACCACGGTAGCAAGGGGGTCAATGCTGTAGGGCAGCAGAAGGGCCCCTGCAGCGTGCAGCCCCATGCATTACCTGCGTGCAGCTGCGTCTGTGCTTGCGGGCTGCAGCTCAAGGACATGCAGCTGGAGCTTAACCCATCACCATGAAGGAGAATCAACCTCCAGCTGCGCAGCCAAGCACTTTACGCACTATTCTGGCTCCCTCCCTCCCCCTCAGGGACATTATTTTCTAAAATTTCTATGCATTTACACACACACCAGAAAGGAGACGCACTGGCCACTTGCAATAAGCAACCCCCAAGGTACAGAGAAAAACACACAGTAATAAAACATCACACAAGGTTACGTACGAAAAAAGGTGAACTGCGTCACTTTTCTCTCTGATAAAATCCCTCCTGTATTTCATAAACTCACGTAGGGTCACCAAGGGGTTTTCAGATATGGTGAACTTGTTATCAGTAGCCCAGGTTTCCATGGCAACCAGTACTATCCTGGTGTTAAGCTGTTCTTTATATATCTAGTATATTAACAGAATGAACAAATACATTATGTCAAATAGAAGAAAGGCGGTTTTCACTCTTCTTCTGCAATACCTTCCATAACTAAATACTTACTGTGTATTAATACATTTTTGGTTTTTCTATGCAGTTTTATCTCAGTGAAAAACAACCAACAAACAAAAAATCAAGTAAAATCTAGATTCGCAAAAAGTTCTGTCATGCCAAAGAAAGAAGATTCCTTGCAAGTGCTAAGAAGCATCACATAAATGTAGTGTAATTTTTGTCAGATTGCAATAGAAACTTTTCAAATAGCTCAAACGTTTGGCATTTACCTGTCTTTTATAACATCCAGTGCATCTCAGCGACATAAGAGAAATGTCTTACATTCAATAGCAATCTACAGAAATGCTGCTTTTACTTTTCTTCCGTAGTATTTTACCTCATGCTGGCTGCCTCGTGCAAAACAGGGCCATCCATTGGCTGCTGGGGGTTAAGAGCACCCATCAACGGGAGCCAAGAGTGGGATCAGCATTTCTCATTTTCAAGTAACAAAATTTTCTGGAGTGAGGCATAAAAGCCCCCATTGATTCCTATTTGGTTCATTTGATTTAGCATCACAGCTATAATCCATATAATCCATCTCTGTGGATTGCTCCTATTCTAATTCATTTACTCAAATGCTTATTTTTTTTCTGATAAAACTTAGTGCATTCTAATTTTAGATTGCCTTTTAGTTTCAGCCATAGCCAACATACGATCCTGCATTACAACACTGCCATAGCTAAGGCGCCCTTCACAACCCAAATACAAGGAATCCATACTATCCTGCTACCCCAGCAGGGTATTTAAACCTTTGAAGATACAAAAGGTTTCTTACCCTTCATGTTAGAAAAGGCTTGTATTTGGCTGACTTTGGTTCTAAATTCATTTGGAACTTGTGACCTTCACATATGTTATTATTAGGTACCCCAAAACAGACAATTCCTGCAATTATCAGTAGAAGAATCATATGACTTATCTCACAGGTGGAAAAACATATATTTCAGTGATACTTACTAAATCTGCCATGTTGACAACTGATTTAGCATAGCTATTTGTATGGCCAACTGATAAGCGGTGCTTTTTGTACTGTGAAACAAACACAGACAAGTTATAAACACAGACTTGAAAAGGAACAAACTCAGTTTCCAAACAAGCATGGAATAAAAGCAACTGCATCAACAGAAGAACCGCTGTGCAAGGCTGGGTCTTCTGCTCTGAATGAAATGCTAGTAAGTGACAGCAGAAAATCACTCACAAATGCACACTGCTATTGCAAGAATCTATTAATAAACATTTGGAAAGTACAGTAAGATCTTTACTGAAAAATGCTATAGGGGCAGGAATACATTATTGTTCTCGCTTTACTACCTTTATTATTAGCATTTTAAAAGTTAATTTCCAAATGCCAATATAGTACTTAGCAATACAACTTTGCCTGCATCAACGTTTTCATTTATCAGACTTTCTTTTTTTTCTTTTTTTTTTTTCCAGCTCTCTCTCAAGGCTTCTTTTGGGTTTCCCCATTTAAAGTATCACAATGCAAAATTCCACAGCACAGAAACTGGTTCAAACCACTTTAGTACTCCGACAGCAATTGTATCTTTACTGAAATCTATATTATATTTCTATAAAGATGACATTTTACACTTAAGATAGCTTTCCAGGTACTCCTATCTGCTGATAAACACTTACAAAGAGCACCACTGGTATAAAAGCAGCAAGTATCTCAGAAGCACTTAAGACATAAAGGCACAGATTTTCAGAAGTGTTTTAACATTTTGACTTGGGAAGCCTTCTCCGTGATAACGGGTCACGGCCGGGCGGGCGGCGGGGGCCAAAACGCGGCCGCTCCGGCTGCTGCTGCCGAGGCCTCGGGAAGGCGGCCTGCTGGGCCGCACCGCAGAGAGCAGCGCAACGGCGACGCTAACGGCGCCGCCACAGGCACTCACAGGGAGGGACAA